GAAAATATTCAACGTCTAACTAAAACTGCAGATATTCATAATATTTTATTGAAATTATCTTATAATTATAAAATATTAAAAGTAATTATGACTATTAAAAAATACTTGAAACTTCGTAGTAGAACGAAGCATAATGGGGAGTACAATTATAACAATCACATATTCATTTCACAGAATGAAAAGCCCTGGTAGAATCATTAGAATCAAAATGTTTAATAACAATCATTAAAAAAATTAACAAATTTTATGGTTTTACATTCTCCCATGGAGAAGCAAAATGCTCCTTCATGGAATAAATAAAAGGTGATCTTAAATAAATGTAAATAACCAAGTTGTTAATAATGAAAATTAATCAAAATTAGTGTTGCTATAACAATTCTATTTAATTAATATTTATTTAAAGTTGCGCATTTTAATGTGACGTCCCATTTCTCAAAACTCCCTCCCCTCCTCGTCACACATCGTCACAAATGTCTGACTCCGCTCCCCCCCCCCTAGGTGCGTGACGTAATTTATGGATGCCCCTAAGGCTATAGTTAGCGCCTATGAAGGCCGGCACGGCACACGAGCGGGTTGGTGGGGAGGTGGAGGAGTGGAGGGTGGGGAGGTGGAGGGGTGGAGGGGTTGGGGGGTGGGAGGGGTGGGAGGGGTAGGAGGGGTGGAGGGGTGGGGCGGTTGAGGGGTTGAGGGGTGGGGGGTGGGGCGGTTGAGGGGTGGAGGGGTGAGGAGGTGGAGGGGTGAGGGGTGGAGGGGTGGGGGTGGAGGGATGGGGAGGTGGAGGGGTGAGGGGTGGAGGGGTGGGGGTGGAGGGGTGGGGGTGGAGGGATGGGGAGGTGGAGGGGTGGGGGGTGGAGGGATGGGGAGGTGGAGGGGTGAGGGGTGGAGGGGTGGAGGGGTGGGGAGTAAGGGGTGAGGGGTGGGGGTGGAGGGTGGGGGGTGAAGAAACTGAAACTCCGCGAGCAGCACCCCGGCGTGTCAGCGGCTTAACGAAGCCCAATAAAATATCCACAATCAAGATTTTTTTTTTTATTGTTGGCTTAAATCGCGTAAATGTGTCGTTAAACCCGCCACCACCCGACACAGCCAATGAGTAAGGGGTTGTCACGTAAACAAAACGTGGTCAACTTAGTTCCACGAGTTCAGCACACCGATCGTGTGACGGAGAGCAAACCCCGCAACATTTTCAATCGCAGTACCGTGGCGTTTCGCCCGTATACACGACCAGCCTCATCAGGCGAAGACCCAGAAATTTGGGAGAAATTATCTTGTTTCACTCTGAAATCGAGGGTGTGAATTTGAAGTCGTCACTTGTGAGCCGATCAGGCTCGAAGGCCACGTGGCTGGGGTTAATGTCGTCGTTTAAATTGCAATGGGTATCTATTAGCGGTTGCGTCATTCACAGTCAATCAACGTACATGTACATTGTGTACGTACATTCTGCCGTTTTTGGGCCTCAAAAAATATGGCGTTCATGTGTCTCATCAATATCGAACGTCCACCTCATTTCATGCAAGTGTAGTGTTGTGAATAACAGATGAATAAACTCCTTTAAGGCACACACTGTTTATTTGTCTTTCTTCGACACGGTCCCTACACACAGAGGGATATACGGTTCCCTCACCCGTAGCCTGAGAAGGTACAGCCTCCTTAAGTGGCGGGACCTTTAAACGACTCTGGCTGTTAGCCAGAGGTCGCAACCGGGTACCTGATACCCGTACCCTACCTGATACCCGGCTACCCGTACCCGGCCGGGTACAGGTACCCGTTTGCGACCCTGGTGCGGCCGGGTACGGGTACGGGTAGGCCGTGAGTCACTGGTGAGTAACTGTTTGTCACTCATTTCCCAACGTCTTGTCTCTTCTCACAATTCAAGTTCCTAGAATCAACCCACCCGCGCCTGCAACATGGCTTCATCCCAGAGGTCGCAATCAGGTACCCAATACCCGTACCCTACCCGTACCCGGCCGTGTTAGGGTTAGGGTACGGCCGGGTACGGGTACCCGTTTGCGACCCTGGTGCGGCCGGGTACGGGTAAGGAATCAAAACCCGTTTGCGACCTCTGCCCTAGCGTCCTCCGGCTGGGACCTGGGGGAGGCTAGCTTGACCCACCGCTGGCTCGGTGGGTCCCCTGACCACTGGTTACGCAGAGCCTCAGCCCTCAGAAGGGCTGGAAGGCTGGGAGCCAGGGTCCTGCCTATCCAGGACCTATTCTCCCCTTGACCGCTGGATCACTGAGCCTCAGCCCTTAGAAGAGCTAGAAGGCTTGGTCCAGGGTCCTATCTCCTTCAGCCCGGTCGTCGGTCTTCGTGTGAGCAGAATTGCCCGATGATGCTGGATACAATTACCAGAGAAACGTCGTACTACTCAAATTGTAAATGTCGTAGTTTCACACTTCAACACACCGGTGGGCTAAAGCAGTGAACTATTTGTCTTTTGTCAACATGACACATTTTTACTGATTGGCCGTGTCGGGTGGTGGAGGGTTACGACACATTTATAAATAACGCGATCTAAACCCAAAAACGTTGATTATGAGCCAGAGCTCTCAGCCCTCCGGCTTTTATACCGGTTCGTGGCTGGGCTTGTCCAATCACACGCCGCTTTGTGGACCCCTCTGATTGGTCCTTCCCAATCTTCCGTTTGGATCCTCTGTCCCCTCAGCTGACCCTTGGCCGTTTGTCTGGCGGGAATCTGTCAACACGATCCGCTCTCATTTCTCCCTGACCCCGACCGCTTACCGAGGGAGGCAAAGCTGTAGCGTAGGTCCTGAATAATGAGTGGCTATCACCTCTACACAAGCACGTAATCTGTTTGTCATTCAGCGGTTGTTTTCTGTGTACAGCACTGGACTTTTCATCTCCAGCACCAATACAGTGAAGCTGCTCCCACACGAAATGGCCAGTCCCACTATGCTTAATTAACTAACGAAAAATTCACACAAGGGCACTTACGGTCTCAACAAAGCTACTCGTCATCCCAGTCACTGCGGTAATGAACACGTCAATGATTTTATTCGCCAATTAGAATTGGGCACTCCTTTTAAGTAAAACAACTAAGCTTTGAAATGTATGATAGTACACATTTTTTGTGTCTGTTTTGTTAACATACAGGCGTGACATACATGTGATCAAATCATTTATTTACTTCTGAATGTAAATGAAATCAATGTCCAACCATGGCCACTTTCCAATGCTCTAGTCTGTTCTCCTATAACGCAGAAGTGTTGCGTTCCTGAAGATAAAAAATCGCATTATACTAATAAATATATAATAATGGGTGAAGCACAGTCCGCGATAACGCGTGAGATGCGTGTGGAGGCTTAACACAGACTGAGGCACGTGGGTAGCATCTAGAAGCATCCAGCAGCATCCCACTGCCTTGTGCGATGCTTTGCCGAGGCAGCCGGACAACTGCTTATTCCTTCTCGCTCGACGTAGTTCTGTTCACTCGATAGCATTATATCCAATTCACATCCGCGTTATAAAACACATTCCGCGGAGGGAGCTGGTAGGAACGTTGGGTTGCTCGGTCAATGGCCAGGGTCAACGGCGGCGTGGTGTATTCCGCAAAATATGCCCGACTGTGAGAGCCGGCACAAGCCGGCGTTAGTAGGTTAAACGTTGAGTTTTATAAGGGCACCACGGGGTGACCAGCCCCTCCCCACCCTCCACACCCAGCCCCTCCCCACCCTCTCCACCCAGCCCCTCCCCACCCGACCCCTCCCCCCCCACCCAGCCCCTCCTCACCCTCCCCTCCCAGCCCCACCCCTCCCATTTTTGTATGCACGACGGAGGGACGGACACAATAATCCCCTGTGGGCTGGTGGAACCAGGAGGTTCCTACCAGTATTATCTCGACCACCGGCCGTCATCTCTTCGAACGTGCCTTGCCCTTCTAATGTACCCTGACCTTCTAATGTGCCCTGCCCTGCCCTTCTAACGTGCCCTATCCTATCCCAATTTTGCTTTTGTGAGCCCTGTCTCTCATAATCATTTGTTCCTTGAACAACACGATCCTCGTTCTCTTTCGGTGTCATTCCCAGCATGCATTTCTTCACGATTCGTTTGCACGCTTTTCATTCTTTCTTTCATTATTGTTTGTCAGTTTCCTTGTTTACTAATCTATTTGTCGTAGCAGATAATGGACTCAGGTTTTGTCTGTCGCCACCCGTCACATTCATCAACTGGGTTAGAGAAGGTAGCTGGCCGTGAACTCTATCGTGCACAACGGCTTGAATGGAATGTTACATTCCATTCACTGGGTGCAAAACCATGAATGCCTTTCTTATCCTCGCAGCGGCTTTTTTGGCGAGCTGTTGAACAAAGGCCGTCACCGCATTGCGCTTCTGAAGCCGTCTCAAGCGCTCCTCCTTCCGATACGAGGAATCCAGTGGAGCTCTGCGCATTCAAATAATTTAGATTGAAAACGAATTTCTTCAGAACTGCTGTTTGCGTTTAGTTTGTCATTCTTCGATAAGCACGGTCGGCTAGGTACGGTGTGAAATAAGTTCAACATACATATAAATGGGTATATCACAGTTGAAATACCCATACATATATACAAGGTGAAAGAGCATGGGGTGCTAATACTGGTAGGAACCTCCTGGTTACACCAGCCCACAGATTATTGTGTCCGTCCGTCCGTCATGCATCCAAAAATGGGAGGGGTGGGGCTGGGTGAAGAGGGGAGGGTGGGGAGGGGCTGGGTGGGCAGGGTGGGGAGGGTGGGGAGGGGCTGGGTGGGGAGGGGCTGGGTAGGGAGGTGAGGGTGGAGAGGGGCTGGGTGGGGAGGGTGGGGCTGGGTGGGCGGTGGGAGGGGTGGGGCTGGGCGGGCAGGGGCTGGTCACCCCGTGGTGCCCTTATAAAACTCAACGTTTAACCTACTCACGCCGGCTTGTGCCCCCCCTTACAGTCGGCGATATTTGCGGAATACACCACACCGCCGTTAACCCTGGCCATTGACCGAACAACCCAACGTTCCAACCAGCTCTCTCCGTAGGAATGTGTTCATCACTGGGTGTGAACAGGACGTCTGGATTAAACCACTGCACAATAAGAGATAGATATATTTTTGCAATCAATAATTAAACGTACAAGAGCAAAGGATCATCAGTTGAAGGGGGTACCCAAAACTGGTTTGAATAATTACAGATCTATGAGCCAATCACGTGTATCTAAGTTGATCTCGGAGATAAAAATGAGACAAAAATAATTGGTAGTCTAGAGGCCAAGCATGCAGGCGAGCTGTATTTAGAACATTTTGGACCACATACTACCAGATTACAAAAGAGAAAAAAACATTCTCACAACGAAATCTAAAGTTTTCTGGTAATTGGATTTGAGAAATAAAGGCACAATATAAATGCGAGACGATGTTATTGCTGGGAACATTATAAGAGTCGGTCATGATGAGAGTCATCGCAAAAAAGCAAATTATATGAACTATATTACAACAACAAACGTATCCAGTGCAGCAGTTTCGCAGAGCAAAAATATACAATTTTGAAGGACACTTTAAAAGAAAACACAACAAATTTGTATCATGATGGCAACTGATTCACGTGAAGATGATGATGGCATAGCCAGAGCAGAATGAAGCACTGACGGAGCAATGCATCTCGGGAAATTAATTTTCAATTTACATTGAAAAGGTCCAGTGGCTTCCTAATACCATCAATATCCGAAGAAAAAAAATGTACCGTAATTGTTGATGATGTCTTTATTTCACAAATTAAATAAAACCCCGACATGAAATGAAAATGTGACATAGTACAGTATTTGTCAAAGCCACGTTGAATTATATTGCAGCCTCTTGCTGTTCATCAAAACATCTCACTCGTGAAAGAGGTAGAATTTAACAGTTAAGAGTTACCATAATAAAAATGAAATAACCAAAACAGTTGTTGTGAATTATTCAGACTTTACTCAACAAGCAATAAGTCTGCCGCATTAAAAGAGATCGAAACGCAATAAAACAAATTTAGGTGAATGTTTTTTTTTATTATAATTATTATTAGGTTGTAGAATCCTTACAACTACTGCTTGCATTTCTTTGCTTTATGCTTCTTGGGCTTTGCAGTATCCTTGGCAACGTCGCCCTACAAGCGGAGAGAAAACAAATTGATAAAAAAAACGAATTACAATAACTAAACGGGGCAAATCTTTCACAATGTTCCCCATGAGTAGAAGACTCCGTCATGCCTACAAAAATATCGAGAGTTGTGTTTTCCCACATTGTACCAATTTCACGTACACATTTCACAACATTACGTAATTACTATATTTTTAAAATGAATGGCCCTCATCACAAACCAGCGGAACAAGTTGAGCTTGCAACAACAACAACGGCGTGGATGTATATTGTGGCGGGACGATGCATCATTTCGATTTAAAGCTTTCGTGACTGCAGGGATTCATCTTCTTGGTTCTTTCGGTAAAGTCACGTAGAAGGGAAATAATAAAATAACAAAAATAAAACATAATAAAATAAAACTGTATTTCCCTTCTACGTGACTTTACCGAAAGAACCAAGAAGATGCATCATTTATTGACTGATATGGATTCTCGTGCTCACGATTTAAATGCACGTCTAAGATGGGTTTTTTTCATTTTGTGTATGCAGGGTGGAGTGGCGTCACGGTGGTTAACGCGCTGCTCCCAGTTCAGGTCCCAGGTGACGTCCAACATCTGACACCTGTCCTTGTTACTTGGCCAGGCGTCACCGGGGAGCACCGAACGGCAATTGTGAAGTTTGGTCAAACAACCCCGACGGCCGCGACAGGGGCATAGAGAGACTTTCACCCAGCGAGCAGATTAACCGAGGGCTACGCGTCGTTTTATTCTATTCGTGATGTCCACATTCATATGAGAAGACGCATACACGATGAGTTTCATTGCCGGTGGATGTGGTGGCTTTGGGATCTAATGCAATGCGAGAGCAATGTGCCACCACTCCTCATTTCAAATCGCAGGCAACCACCCGTGGTTAAACTTGGTTCTCAAACGTAGCGAGATGACGAACGTCAAACCGGTCGCCGTCGACTGCACATACTATTCCCCCAAAAGGTAAAAAAGTGTGTGTATATATACAGTAATCCCTCGCCACTTCGCGGTTCAAGTTTCGCGGCCTCAGTGCATCGCGGATTTTTCGAACTGATTTAAAGGCCTCATTATACATGTGCAGTAACACCATCATCATCATTCATCATCACATTCATCGAACTGCACAGGTCTGTCATCGTCGTCATTGTCATCGTCATTGTCATCGTCGTCGTCGTCATTACTGGAGTCAAGTCTCAAGATACTACTGTCATTGGTGAGTGTAGAACACCATAATACGTATCGTATGAGAGAGAAAGAGAGAGTGAATGTATAATATTAAGGTTTTATAATTAAATAGATTTAAGTAAAATATATATATATAAAGTATAAATATACATATTTTAAACATTCTGGTACCCACACACACATATACGGAAATTCCTAGGGGGCCAATCCTACTTCGCGGATTTTCATCTATCACGAGGGGTTCCGGTCCCCACTAACCGCGATAAACGAGGGATCACTGTATAATACATTTGTGACTCGTGGTGTTAAATTGTGACGATTTGTCAAGTCACCCCAGGGGACGCGCAGGAGGAGAATCATTTCACCCCCCCCCCCCCCCCAACATTAATTTTGTAAACAATGCCACCCAAATTGTCAGGCACATCTGCGAAAGGTCGAACCTCCGAGGTGCGGTGTCACACAGGGCTCGATCTCAACTCAGACAGGGGAAAGAGCTGCCCGTCTATTGTGTTCGTAAAGTTTATGAATTTGTAAATACCTTTTCACTTCCTTGACATTTGGTTAGCTATGGGTTTTTTTTGTTTGGTGGGGTGATCTTAGAATTTTTATTTAGAAAGTGCCGTTATACAATCGTTCTCAGGGTGCATTATAGTCCGTGCACGTTTATTATATATATTTACTGTGTGCATTTTATATATTTGTTTCATGTCGCACCTCTAATTAGCATGGTTGGCTTTGTACGGTGCGAAAGAAGTTCAACATATATCCGTGCATACATTTTCTGTTTTAAGTTATGTACAGCACCATGCGAACTCCGGGTGAAGCATGCTTTAATAATGGCCTAAAATCAACGTCATTCAAAGCATAGTATTTACAAGGCTTGTATCGTGTATTGGATACTTGAAGGTGCTACATTGCTGCAATGTCAAGGAGACTTTAAAATATTTTAAAATTCTCAATCACCCCACAAACACAATGTCCTACCAATGTACGGTGTAAATTGCTCGTTTTTATTAATTTAGTTTAAGAATCTTAAATGAAAATTTCTATTGTCATATTGTTCCCCGCCCCCCCCCCACCCACCCCCTCCTCATGCCTAAGCAGGATGTTCCTATTGCTGGGCCCATTTGAGATGTCAGTTAGGAGCGGGAGAAATCGACCAAAGGTGAAATAACGGATACGAGATTTGTGCGGCAATTGCAAATCCGCGATTGCCAAGCGTACGCCTGCGTGTCGAGAAGATACCGCGCCTGATCGCACGCTTACCGACGCCGCCGGTGAACTGCTCTGCTCAGCGGTGGCGGTAGGCACGGGCAAAGTGAGAACACGCTTGTAGCTTACTTAGACGTGCGTAGCAATCTACTCCCAAGGCGTTTTTGCAACCGTTATAAAAGTGTACGTAAGATGACAGTCGTTGAAATGAAGAGGGGGGGTTATTAAAAGTGGTGGTGTAGTTATGGTGACAGGAGAACAGGTGGGAATGGTTAAGGAGGGGTAGTGATAGGGGTAGTAATAGGGGTTGGGGTAGTGATAGGGGTTGGGGTCGTGATAGGGGTTGGGTTTAGTGATAGGGGTTGGGGTATTGATAGGGGTTGGGGTCGTGATAGGGGTTGGGGTAGTGATAGGGGATGGGGTCGTGATAGGGGTTTGGGTAGTGATAAGGTTAGTAATAGGGGTAGTCATAGGGGTTTGGGTAGGCATAGGAGTTGTGGTAGTGATAGGGGTTGGGGTGGTGATAGGGGTTGGGGTGGTGATAGGGGTTGGGGTAGTGATAGGGGTTGGGGTAGCGATAGGGGTTGGGGTAGTGATAGGGGTTGGGGTGGTGATAGGGGTTGGGGTAGTGATAGGGGTTGGGGTAGTGATAGGGGATGGGGTAGTGATAGGGGTTGGGGTAGCGATAGGGGTTGGGGTAGCGATAAGGGTTGGGGTAGTGATAGGGGTTGGGATAATGATAGGGATAGTGATAGGGGTTGGGGTTAGTGATAGGGGTTGGGGTAGTGATATGAGTTGGGGTTAGTGATAGGGGTTGGGGTAATGATAGGGGTAGTGATAGGGGTAGTGATAGGAGTTGGGGTAGTGATAGGGGTTGGGGTAATGATAGGGGTAGTGATAGGGGTAATGATAGGAGTTGGGGTAGTGATAGGGGTTGGGGTAGTGATAGGGGTAGTGATAGGGATTGGGGTAATGATAGGGATAGTGATAGGGGTTGGGGTTAGTGATAGGGGTTGGGGTAGTGATAGCGGTTGGGGTAGTGATAGGAGTTGGGGTTAGTGATAGGGGTTGGGGTAGTGATAGGGGTTGGGGTAGTGATAGGGGTTGGGGTAGTGATTGGGATAATGATTGGGATAATGATTGGGATAGTGATAGGGTAGAGATAGGGGTAGTGATAGGAGTTGGGGTAATGATAGGGATAGTGCTAGGGGTAGGGGTAGTGATAGGGGTTGGGGTAGTGATAGGGGTAGTGATAGGAGTTGGGGTAATGATTGGGACAATGATAGGGATAGTGATAGGGGTTGGGGTAGTGATAGGGGTTGGGGTAGTGATAGGGGTAGTGATATGAGTTGGGGTAATGATTGGGACAATGATAGGGATAGTGATAGGGGTTGGGGTAGTGATAGGAGTTGGGGTAGTGATAGGGGTAATGATAGGAGTTGGGGTAATGATTGGGATAATGATAGGGATAGTGATAGGGGTTGGGGTAGTGATAGGGGTTGTGCGAGGTCTGGTCGTAGCTGGGGCTCGGGGCAGGGAGTAGCAGGATGGACAGCGGAGAAGAGGTGGGAGTTGTTTTAAGGGAGGAGCGGACGCAGCTTCGTGAAGATGATTTGGGCCCCAAAAATCTCAAGGGGTCCCAGATTCACAAAGTAGATTATGGGTAAATGAATTATCAGCTCAAATTGAAATCCTACAGCGCTGGGTCAGTGGTGTAAATTCCACATTCAGGTCTATCCATTGGGCAACTGCTGTTGATTACACCCAAAAATGTGTACTCTTTAAAACTATTTAAACTCATTTTTTTTATTTAACCAGGTAAGGTCCCACTAATCTAGACAGCTATTTTTCAGAAGCCACCGAGTCACAAATTATAGCCCAACGATATGGCTTATCACGTGGACATTTATAGCAGCCAAATACTCTAAAAGCATATTTCTAAATGTGGGGGTGGGGGGGGGGGTGGGGGGGGGGGGGAACCGGAGGACCCGGATAGAAATTCCACGCAAACACGGGGAGAGAGACACGCGCAAACTCCAAATATACGACAGACGTCAAGGGTCGGGATCGAATCCACGACCTCCAGTATACCAGGCGAGGTGGTTAACATCTCGCAAACGCGGCGCCCCATTGTTTTGACCTCGGGTCGGACGTTGGGCTGTAAACCCCCAATCAAGATATCTCGCAATCCTCCCATTGCGAACCACCTTGCCAGGAACATGAAAGGATGTCAACGGGGTTATTAAGACAATAACTGGGTGGGAGGTGCAGGGTGGAGGCTAGGGGGGGTGGGCATTGAAGAGAAGAGAATGCTGCAATTGCCTGTTCATTTTCAGGGTGCCATAGCTTGCCATCTGTAGCGCTCCGGCATGTCGGGAAACACTCCCTTATTGTAATTAACAATGGCGTGTCATTTCTCGTACCGTTATATAATGGGCGTACGGTGTTTTTTGTCCAACGCTGCAGGGAATAAACACGGGAACACGTGGCGTACCGCCACCTTAACGAGCGCAGTCCCATCACCGCAGTCGCTCTCGTGCATAACACCAATCCCATGCGGAGTGAACACATTGTGATTTCGTGAGTCCGCTGCCACTGACAAACTTTCTCAAAGCACCTCGTTTCCTTTTGTTCGACGACAGAAGAAGCCGAGCACGTTGCCAAAGCACAATGTTAATTACAGTCACCACGGAGGCATTCCCGCTTTTGTGAATGTAAAAAAGAAATCAGGTAAAAAACATTTTTAAACCGTCAATTTGGAGGAGGCGCAACTCTCTCCACTTGTCTTCTTGAGTTGGACATCGCGCGTTGTTCGGCGCGATGTCCAACGTTTTTCCTCGACGCGCTGGGAGCTTCGACAGCTTTGCAAGTGGTGCAAAACACGGGGCATCGTGCCAGTCGAGGAGAACTTCGCACCAAAACCACGAAAATCTACACGGGAGCATGCATGCGGTTTCCCAAACGTATTTACCGTAGTGCTGCAAAACTATTCTGCATTACAAATGTTGATGTTTGTATGCCAGGGGTGGAGCGATGGTGCTGTGGTGAGCACGCTGCACGATGAACCCGGTGGCTTTCGCTCGAGCTGCACTGACCAACGTGGTGAAATATGGTCAAACAACCCCCACGACCAGCACAGAGGGAGAAGCCTTCATCCAGTGCTAGACTGATACATTACCTATATGATCGTACAATATTGTGCCAGGTGGGACTAAAATCTTGAATTCTGGCATTGATGCAGAGATGTTGCCATCGTGCATAAGACACCCACTGGCAATGATTCATCGGTATAGAAAGCGGGTTTCAACAGTCCATCCATACATTCGAGTTAGAGTTGTCTCTTGTTTGTGAATCGTCTCAAGATACCAAATAGTTTCCACCCGCATGCTTGAAAATGCATGCAATGTTCTCGTGAATATATATATATATTTTTTTTTTATCCTAAGTGGCTGTACTGGATAAATAAGTAGCGACACTGTGCATAAATGTTTCCGCTGAAATATTTCCGGCTCGCCCGCTTTCACGATGTCACAACGCGTAGCCCTCTGGAGCACTCGCAAAACCGCCGAGCGATGATGTCCACGCGATCCCATTTGCGAAAGCATCACCACCTTGAAGCGCATTCATACATCTATAGAGGAGTCGTATGACGCTGTGACGTCGTGGGCGCTGTGAGGCGCGATGACCTGATGGCACGGGATATACTTAAGGGGGACCCCGTGACGAAAGCGGGGTCGTTGTGGGAGCCCGGGATGGAGAGCGTCTGAAAGGAGGTCTCTCCGGCTCGTGACCTGACGGTGTTGGCTGATCCCCCGTCCAGGTTCTACGAGTAGGAGAGCCGAAGAGATAGCCAGGGCTAGGGCTCAGAGAAGCCGGCTAAGATTACGTGGGGTGCTGCTCTCCTCGGTCGGGCGGTGTTGGATGAGGCCCCGTCCCGACTCGAGTGAGAGAGCCCAAGAGATAGCCCAGGCTCGCAGTAGATAGAGCCTGAGGTCCGCGTGAAGGACCGAGTGTAGGGGACAGCTGCCTCTGGTGTGTTTGTTACCCGTGTTCATAAACCGGCGCACAAGCCCTTACTAAGAGTTCAGTCTACGAGTCGTCCTGCACCACACAACACATCCGCGCACCATCCACTCGGTCCGCTCGTGTAAACACGACCAACTGTCCACCGTGCTGCATCATCTTTCTTTTTTGCCCCCCCCCCCCACCCCCCTTCAAACGACACTGCGACGTCTACCCGTGCGATGTGCGCGTGCCACTCCGCGCGCACGTCGAGGCAAAGCGTCGCACGGCGAGAGAGATGTTGGCGGGGGGGGGGGTTCTTCTCGTCTCCGTCGCTGAGCGCCGCCACGCGAGGCGTTCTCGCTCGCTCGCGGGCGACGAGGTCGGCAACTCAAGCGGCGGACGACGCTGCGTTGTCTCGGCGACATCCGGCAGCGCGGCTGACCGGGGCGGTGGTCGGCGCCGCCACCGCCGCTACCCCGAGGCGACAGTTTTATCTCTTGCGTACACGCGCGGCAAGGTCGGCAAATAAGTGCGCGAGCGAGGAGTGTGCGTCCGAGCGTGCGCGCGTGCCTCGGGGGGTATGACCTGTCGTTCGCAACGGAGAAGAAAGCGATGAGGACCACAATCGCTTGCGTGGCGTGGTGTGGAAAGCGTTGCCTGTCCCGCATCGGCCTCTCGACCAGGGGTCGGCAACCTGCGGCTCCGGAGATGCAAGCGGCCACTGAAGCCGCTGCGGCTGCTTCAGTGGCGTCGTTTAGTAAGGGCCACCGTCTCGGCAGGGTCGGGAGACAGGGACCGAGGGCAAGGAGGGCACAACCACGAGAGGTTAGACGGGAGCCGGATTCGGAGGGTTGCAAAGAAAAAATGCTCGTTGAGGCCACCTCTTTTTTTATTTTCTTCATGTCAGGTGTGCTCAGGTGTGCTTTCGTTATGTCCCTCTCCACCCTTGTCACCATTTCCCCTTTTGGTGGGACCCTGTATGGTTTGGGGCAGCGAGCCCATTACCCATACTTCTATCCCCTGCCATTTCATAACCGGTTTGGCTTGTGTTGACGGTGTGTACGTGCGTCACAACGTGATGCATCGGACCCGCACGTTGCCTCGATAAAAAAAAAAAGGATCACGTTTCGTATTCACGTCCATTGCGGCTCTTAAAATATAGATTTTTTTTCTTACCGAATGTGGAAATGCACGGGTGCAGCTCGATTTAGAGATCTGAGCCAGCGTGGATCCCGTTGGTCATGGACGTTCTGTGTGCAAGGCTCAAAACGGGATCTTGGTCCTTGTGTGGCTAATTGATCAGTGCCAGTGTCAGACAACACACAAGCACGTCCAAAGAGCACAGATCCTCTGTACATAGGCAAACACCATGACAGCACTCCCCTGAAGAGGTGCACTGTGGTCCTCGTGACTTAGATCACCATAAAAAAATAAACGTGAGCACAATGTGCAGAGGCCGTGTTCCGTTTGAACATGGCTTTTTGGGTTGCTTGAAACTTTAGTTCTTGCCCGGCCTGCTGTTGTGTTGGGACTTTATGTCGCCGTCTGCATATTTGAATATTGCTCACCGCTGTTTGCACAAATCCGTTTTCCACCAGCACACCACGCGCACAGTTGTTGATGTGTTTGAAGCGGTCGGGTCCCAGCATGACTCCGCCATACCATCGCGACACCACCACCACCGCGTCCCGCACGTCCAGAATCTGCCAGATAATTTGCGACGCACAAGCACAACGCCCGCACGTGCGCGCAGACCCGGGGTCAAGCACAATTACAGCAAACCGCTGTCAGCCGAAATGTACATCGCAATTTACGTTGTGATAGCAATTAGTTACGAATGACACAGTTACACCCATAATTGACCCAGGGCCCGAGTTATAAACACACAGAATTATATGAATGATAAAATGTGCACGAATTGTCAATCCACACCGCCGGGGCCGTAGGGGCTACTCGAGAAAACGTAGCCGCACTGCTCAGGGCGGGCCGGTTAAGGTAGAAGAACACCGATGTGAACCATGGCCAGGAATCAACCTCAGAGCTCAATCTCCCGGCTGCACGGCAGCTGTTACAATGGACAAGTTTCTCTAATGCACCCCCCCCCAACTCCCCCCAATCTCTGTCCACCCAGCAGTATAAGCGGATGCACCGCAGTTAGTCGATCGGCAGGCTGCATGCGGTCGGCTAAAGTGTGGGTACTCTTCAACGTACTCTTAGTTCTTTCGGTAAAGTCACGTAGGTAAAAAATGAAATTAAAATTAATAAAAAAAAAATAACGTCACAGCCATAGCAGCAAATCTGGCTGTCACGGTCCCACCTGATGACGGAGACTCGTGTTGCCTCCGAAACGTCGTGATTTTATTTTTTTATTTTTATTAATTTTAATTTCATTTTTTACCTACGTGACTTTACCGAAAGAACTAAGAGTATGAATCCTTGCAGTCACGAAAGCTTCAAATCTAGAATTACTCTTCAAAGTCTTCCCAAATGTGTGACCAGCGTGGAGGAGTAGGCCAAAATAGACTGGAGGGGGGGGGGGCTCTCTAGAGCTCCTTCTAATTGAGGCCCCCTTCTGTCAGCAGTGGGGTGAGCAATTCATCTCAGGACTTGTAGGGCTACACTTTTACCTTGTGTTGCCATCTAAATATGTGCGTGCGTGTGACCAAAATAAAAAAATGTTCACCCCCGAAACAGAAACTAATAAAAACTGAGTGACGTGAGTTTTTTTTTGTATCACCGGTTCTCTCATTCAATGTGTTTCTACCCAGACAACAACCAACCTCTACACCCCCCCCCCCCACCACCACCACAATCTCTCCCAGCCCAACACGGAGGGTCGTGCGACAGGACACGGTGACCGTGACGACATCGCCCACGTGAATCTCAACACGCGTACGCGAGAGCACGCACCGAGCACCGAGGCGAGCGGTGAGAGGGACAGAATCGTGAATTAAGTGAGTGAACCAGCAAGGGGACGTGTTGAAACTCGTTGACACGAGTGGGACAAGCGGGTCAGAGGGTAGAGGATGGGTGGTGGAAGGGAGAGTGGGCACTCGTGAAGGCCCTCGCAAGACTGCACGCCCTTCACGTCGCAGCGTTTAAATGTCCCTCCGCGTCTGTGAGAATTCCGCGTTTAGCGGTCGCATTCACGCGGTGACAAAAGCTGGCCGTTGTTGCCTGCAGCAGAAGCCGCTAATCCAAATGAGAATGCCTTTAGCGTTGTGTAGCAGTGCCCACGTCATGACACCACGAACCCAACACAAAGATGTGAACATGAATTTATTTCCGTGGCAAGTGCTAACCGGGTTAGATTTTGGTGTTGTATATTGACGTATATATTTACAAATGAATATGTAACCAATTTTAAAAGAGTAAATGAAAAAAACCACATTCCTTGTATATTGACTTGTATATTTACAAATGAATATGTAACCAGTTTTAAAAGAGTAAATGAAAAAAAAAACTATTCAATTGCAATTGCTACATTGATATGCAAATTACGTGATGAAATTACCTAAAGTGCCAATCAAACACGGCTACTGACGTTTACTCTACGGAGAGTTACGCAATTGTCACGGAAACCCCAGTTTCTTCATGTTTATTTAATGCAGTTTGCGACAAAGCAAACGTTGAACAAAATATAACCATGCCTGGTGTAGACGTATGAGTCTAGAGGAGAACCCATTTGTGATCTAAGGCAGAGAGAGGCGAGACAGAAGCGGTAAGAAACAGTGAGGGAGGGAGGGGACACGGGGGGGAGCGCACCTTCCTACACAAGTCAGCGAGCTAAATTTCGATATGCAAATTCTTTTGTCAAGGCTCTCTTCCCCTTCCAACCCAGCTTAAATATACGCTCCAAGCGTGGTGGTGTTTCATTCAGACGCTGTCTCCCCGACAGACCTGGTCTTCACCTGAGGACGGCTGCTTGCGTTGTGGCCGAAACGTCGTGAGAATTATTTTATTATGTTTTATTTTTATTATTTATTATTTCCCTTCTACGTGACTTTACCGAAAGAACCAAAAATAAGTCAGCGAGCCCTTCAAGAGAGCCTCAAGCCGTCCGAGCTCCAACAGATTCGGCCAATGTTCAAAAGCGGGATAGATCGCGAGTGAGAAAACCCGAGGTTTTCTTTTATATTCAAACAGCGCGACGGGTGTTTACGCTCGGTTCCATAAAAATACTCCGCTTGACTGCAACGGAGATGAAACTTAGATCTGCGACCGCCATCGGCACATCGGATGAACGGCCGCTCACGATCGCCCTTCCTCCTCCCCTTGCGTGGGCATCACAATGGGAGTTATTAGGCAGTTCGTGCGTCACGGCCCACCGCATTAATGAACATTTTAGTGCCGAGCGCAAAACACAACCGTGGCTTGGTAATAATCACCTGCGATGCTGTAATGAGACTTCATTGTGGCAAAGCGTGGCGCGCGCAGGAGTCACGGGCGTAACTGGTTGCGGATAATCACCGCTAATTGCCGTGAATTACTTTCACAGTGTTGTCAACGAGAATAATGTGAAAATATTTTGCACGAATTTTTTTTTTTCACCGTTGTTAGCATTTCCGAGAAAGGCATGCATACTTTTAAATCATCATGCATTTCACGTTCTCTCTCTCTGAGGCTATACAATTCGTGAGCAGTGTTTTAGCGGTGTGTGGCATACAAGTAAGACTACACAGAGTCAATCTCTTCCCTATAATTACCAGAGTATCGAGAATAAAAGAGATGCATCCACCACACGTGCTTGTGCAAAAGTGATGTTGGCCGGTGGGGTTGAGGCTGACAACGGAGTGGCTACCTTGGGATGGGATCATGGTCCAGGGAGGATCGCCCACCAAGGAGATGGAGCGATGATATCAGCTCACGTGCGGGTGCTATTAGGTGGTGGACCGCTTCACCGTAGGACCATGAGTGGTGGCGACAGTAGTTTGGGGTGAGGCCTACATCCAATATCACCTCATCTCTTATCGCATTTGGAGGTACAGGCACCGCATGCTATGCCAATGTCAAAAACATATCCAGAACTGCTGTGAAGCTGGGTTTGAGTCTGAGCCAGACATGTTCATTCTGGCAGTGATAGTAAAAAAAAGAATTATAGTCCTTTCCAAATCCACTTTTGGATGAAGGCCACCCGCCATGCCATACCAGTCTAGGGGATTTGTGTGGTAATTCACCATGGTGGTTTGGCTCCTGATGTGAGCTGTAGCCAGGAATCAAACAGCGTTGCCAGGTTCATAGTGCAGCGCACTAGCCACTACATCACTGGTATCATGATGGTGTGAATAAGTTGAATCATAATAATACAAATATTATAATAACATTATGTATAGTGGGAGCTGATGGGTGCTGAAAGGAGAGGCAGGTGGAGTGAAAGGAGAGGGACTGAACTGTGACTCTCCGCGGAGAGAATTGTCCGGCTAATATCCCCAAAAGCTAAATGTCTCAGATTGTTGGGGAGTAGCAGCCTTGTACCGAGGCATGGTCATGTGCTGCACGAGTGCCTCCCTATGCCAAACAGCTCGCCGATGTGATTTGACCATAGTTCGCGGGTTGGTGAAGGTGGGGATCACAGACGTAGAAGCATCGGAGCACAGCGCAGCAATACATCTCGCTGCGCCGCCCTCGGCTGCCCACCGCACAAACCCGCAGTCGCCTGTCACAACCTGGCATGCATCATGATCACACAACCAAGCACTATCCGGGCTCGACACCTGCATAGCTTGAGACCTGATGAGATCGGGCGTATTTTGGGGGGTGGCGAGGTGTTAATTACCTCGCCTGGTATACAGGAGGTCGTGTGTTCGATGCAGACCCTGATGCATGTACAGTAAAACCTTGGATTGCGAGTAACTTGGTCTGCGAGTGTTTTGCAAGACGAGCAATTTTTTTTTTTATAAATATACGGAAAGACAGACGCTGTCTTTCCGACAGACCTGTTCTACACCTGAGGACGGCTGCTTGCGTTGTGGCCGAAACATCGTGAGAATTATTTTATTATGTTTTATTTTTATTATTTAATTATTTCCCTTCTACGTGACTTTACCGAAAGAACCAAGAAGAAGTTTACAGTTTGGTTAAGAGTTGTTCGTCGGTGCAGCTACACGGCTCAGAGGCGCAACGAAAAAGACACCGGGACGAGTCTCACCTGCAGCAGGTGCAGCAGCCGCCCTCCGGCTGCCGTCTCGCCATCGTCGTCGCAGTCCTGCAGGAAAGCGTGCTTCCCGGGGCAGTCGATCCTTGGAGGCGAAACAAAAATCCCCCGTGTAACCTTAACAGACTGTAGGGGCAAGTGCTGTTAGCGAGCACATATGAAGGCCGGAACGGTACACGAGGGGGTGGGGTGGCCAGCACCACGCCCGACCGCCTTTGTCTCCCCAGTGGCGATGTTTACACACCGCACCGGGTACTCATTTCAGGCTGAGTCGACCTAGGGGAGGCCCAGGACCGGTTTAGATAATCGTCAGTGGTGTTGGCCGTGAGCGGGAATCGAACCCGGGTCGCCAGGTTCATAGCGCAGCGCGCTAACCGCTACACTACCGCTCCACCCTGGAGGCGAAACACACGCACATCGACACACGTGTCTGGAACTGCGCCACGCAGACAAGGACTTCAAGCAAAAGTCAAAGCGAGTTCCGGCTCACACGAACATTGAGACCGGAGCCAGTGGTGGAAATTCTGCATTCCCGTGGCCGGGACAAGTCCACCCATAGGACAATCACTGTTGGCTTCCCCACAAAGTGGTACAAATTTTAATCTTGATTTGAAGCTTTCGTGACTGCAGGAATCCATACTCTTTGGTTCTTTCGGTAAAGTCACGTAGGTATAGAATAAAATAAAATAAATCACGACGTTTCGATTGCAACACAAGCAATCATCATCAGGTGTGACAACCAGAGGAAGTAATATTACTTCCTCTGGTCATCATCAGGTGTGACAACCAGAGGAAGTAATATTACTTCCTCTGGTTGTCACACCTGATGACGATTGCTTGTGTTGCAATCGAAACGTCGTGATTTATTTTATTTTATACCTACGTGACTTTACCGAAAGAACCAAAGAGTATGGTACAAATTTTATCGACCCTAGCTAGGGGGATAAATGAGCTGAGGCAGCGCCCTCACCAGGATTTGAACTCATAACGTTCCACTTGTGAGCCGCTCGCCTTCCCACTGAGCCACCTGGCCGGGAACCTGGGTGGTGGTGGGGGGGGGGTCGATACTGTTCTTCCTCTCCTCCTTCCTCTTGGCTGGGAGGCGAGGTGGCCGGTCGATGTGGTATGACGCCAATTGGTTCAGGAACCCAGCATTGTGAACCTTTTTTAAAATCCTTTATATTAAGTTCACTTGCTTGCTTGCTTGCGCGCTTACGACCGTGCAAATCTTTCGGTCGTTTTTTAACCCACTTCCCGTTATCCAATCGAGCTGACATTTTGCACACAGACTCGTTGTGCGTGACAATTTATTTTAGTGAAATTTTTTTTCCAAAATTTTCCACTTTTTAGAAGAAAAAAAAATTTCATATTTAATTTAAAATACCAATGTGATAAAAATGAAACTCTTACTCAAGAAAAACAGAAATGAATAATAAAATAAAACCGATGCCACGCATATAAAGGATTTATAGTAAAAAACTTTGTTTGTACGGGTTAATTTTTTAATATAAAAAAAATCCCTCCTTTGTTTTCTTCCACTTGATCCGGCGCCCTCCCAAAGGAAAAATACTCATTATAAAAAATAGCATTGGCCAAACATCCCAAATGCAGAACCCTCCTGGCGGAGAGCCTAGGCACTTCCCTGTGCGTGTTTCATGCGAGCATCTTCTTCTCGAATTCCCTGTCAACGGTCTGCAGCCCGGCGACCCAACCGTTTGATTGCACGATTTCCTTTGGTTAGAGAGGTCAGCTGAACGTGAAACTGAATTCCTTCCATTCACCGGGTGCAAAAAAAAACGTCTATATTTTTCACCCGTGCAGTTTCATTAAGACGAGCGGCACACAATGTACCCAACAAACAAAGAGGCCCTGCCTCCAGAACCTTGGGCTTTTTTTCTTTCAACAATAAATCCGAACACAGTGTCCATGGAATCATCCTGGGGGCACTTGCTCTAACCTTCATTGCATCTTGAGGAGCAATTTCAAGATAATGCATTGTTTGTAAATTAGTACATTGTGAGGGACAAAAATATGTAGCAATTTAAAGTTGATTGTGGAAATTTCAAATGGGATGGACATGTTTGTATGGAGGTAGGCATCTTTTGTAATTTTTATGACGGTATAAACAATAATATGCACATTCATGCCAAATCAATGGGGAAATAGCCAACCTAATTTGAGTAAATGACAGTAAGTTTACGTTCTGTTGAGTAGCAATAAGTGAATTAAAAAGGCAAGGCCACGACAAAAACAAGATGATTTTGAAATTATGAGACATTAAAAATGATTCAATGACATATATATTTTCTACATACCCATTGCTTCATTGAAGAGAGAAAATTAGATTGACAGCAAGATGAACATAACAACAGCAAAAGATGGCAATGTTTAGATATTTTAAAGGGACGCTGGCAATCCAGAGGTGCTAAGTTTGATCTCCCGACACGGAGAATTTGAGATGGGTACACCCCAGTTAGCCAATCGGTAGGCTGCGTGTGTTCGTGGGGTGAAGTGTGGGTGCCTCTCACATCTTCCAAGACATCTGGTCAATGTGAAAGAGTGGACCAAAACACCCTGTAACAGGGATCTCCAGAGCTACCCTCTAGTTGTGGCCCTTCTGCCAGCAGTGGTGTGAGCCAGCAATTGCAGGGCTGCACCTTTACCGTCACCTAACTTTTAAAAGTATTATTCGCACACCGACACACACATGCGACGACTCACATTTACACGGCGGTGTATTGCTCTCCATGTGCATCGTCGCTCTGGAAATGACCGAGCAACGATGCCCCGTCAAAGTCAAGTGTAGGTAAAAGCCACACGTGTCTTTCTCATTAGCCCAGACTACTCAACGGACAAAACTTTCCAATGCCTTTTTGACAAATTCTCTTTGAGACCGATGGATTTTCTTTAACTTATTTAGGCACATTTAGCGTATTGTTTTTAATTAAGGTAATTTTTCCAATATATTTACAGAAACGCCTCTTTTATGTAATAATTTCATCCCTGTCTCTCTTTTACTAACTGCCCGCGGTAACGGAATTGTGGTGTGTTGCCAAGCTGTGCCCCTCTGCCAGAGATTTTCGGTTGTTTAGCAAACAAGTTGTAGGCGACTTCCACTTTGCTCATTTTTATACTGAGCCCCACTTTGCAGGCGCTTATGTATTCATTAAGTCCATCAATAACTCGCCATGGTGTTCATTGAGTCATTTACACAGTCATTATCACGAGCCTCCGGTCTCTGGAGACCACCTGGAGAAGATTCCAGGCACGTGTTGACAATGATGGCGAACAAGTGGAGATTTTTTGACTTTTCGAAGCTATGAACATAGAAGATGAACACTGAGAGAGGCAGAAGAGAAGAGATATGGGCGCAATGAAGAGGTAGGGAATGAGCACTGAGGAAGTGCGCGTGGTTTATTGCGAATGCATTGGAGTGTCGCACCTGTACGCCATGATGTTGTGAGTAGCGCTGGCAAGCTTCTTATTCTCAAGCAGCTTCCGTAACACCAGCTTGACCTGCACAGTCAAGGGGCACGGGCGTAATGGAAATTGCATCAGCGAGTTGTTAAGACACAATTAGACTGAGCGAACAAACTGGAACTCGGGAAGATGAGTGCGCTGACAAAAGGAGAAAAACATTTCAACGTAAATTATGTGACCGTGATAAAAAAAATGTTTTACGTTAATTACCGCATTCACTTTTTTGTGTCCTGTATTTTCGGTCAGAGGTTGGGGGTGCGTCGAAAAAGCTGGTAGCCGTGTGTGCGTGTTACCAGATTTGCACGTAATTTTATTGACGCAGGGTAGAAGTTAGGGGTGCGTATTACTTTAAAAAAACTTCTTATAATCCAGTGAATATGGTAATTAAAAAGGTAACTTTTTTATTATTCACATTACTGTCTTTACAAAAATTCAAAGATAATCGTAATGCAGTGACTTGGAGGCAGGGTTTGGTGGAACACAGAGAGACAGAGGCTATGTGAGACAGCAACCTGCTGGATAATGATACTCCCATATAAGCAGCATAGCAAATAGGTTACTTACAAGCTATCTCTACAGCAGAATTTCAATATTCTCTCACTGTATAATTGTATTCCCAAGAAATGTGATATTTCTCCCACGTGAAAAAAACACGCTAAAAAGTGCCAAACATCATCCAAATTTATCATGATCTTGTGAAGTATCAGCAGCTAACCAGGGTTGCACACGTGTGTACGTTGAACTTCTTTCGCAACTTACGTAGCCAACCGTGCTAATCGGAGGTTGCGGGAATGGTTCATGCTTGGGTGGTGCACTGTTCCGAGTACCAGGGATCATAGGATTTGGCTGCAAAGTCACCAAGAGATTGGTAGCGTGAGGTCCTTTGTAATCGTGGTTTTTCTCTGGGAAAGCCGGCTTCCTACCACATGTCAAATCGTTTCATGGATTTGGCCAAACATCCTAAAGCAGGATTTTCCAGAAAGGGCCTTCAAACTCAAGTCGTGTTTGCCTGGATAAATACTAGATTCTATGGATTATAAGATATACAACGGAAATTAAGACGTACGCCGATAATTTCACGTACCTCCGATTAGCACGGTTGGCAATGTACGGTGTGAAATAAGTTCAACGTACATACATACGTGTCCAGTGTCAATCAAGTTATACAAATATGATCACACACACTCACAGACCTATCGGGTTACAAGGATCACACCCAACTTTTACTTAAAAAGGCAGTGCGACACAGTGTGTCTTGGACTCGGAGAACGTGGTAATGGGCACTGTTATGTATAACTATCATCATCATCACTATGAAATCTTGATGCTCAATTGCAGATTTTCTGGGCTAAATCAAAGGGTCGGGGAAACAAAAACAGTGCACCCACGGCTGTGTGCATTGTGGGAGAGGGTTAAAGGTCACCTGCTTGGTGGTGACGACTGGAGCCACGTGGGCCTGGAAGGTGCTCCGCCGGTCGGTGATGGTCTCGCCGTGGACAATGGGTGGCACTTCGTCTCCTGCGCGACCGTTGAGAACCAGGGCAGGGTGCCGCACGCGCGTCGCGTTCGGCGAAGCGTTGAGCCAACAAACAAAAAACGCGTCGGAGAGTCACACCGGCCGCGAAATACCTACGCAGTGGCGTCGTCACCTCTTGCGCGATCCGCCATCCGTCGTACTGGATCCTTCGTATTGATCCTTCGCGCATTGACCCTTCTTCGATCAATGCGGCGACGGCGAAATGCCGGCGCTGCGGCAGGCTAAACGGCGATTACGTGAGGAAATTTGGTCACATTTTCAACCGCTTGGAATGGAAGTAAAAACCAGCAGGCTGAGTTCCAATTTGGAGTGTGCACCGTTTTGGACTCGAGGCTTAATCCGGATGAAATCCCCAGTGTCAGCCCCTTGCTATAGCCAGAGTTAGTGCCTTGCTAAGGAACTGACAAACTATTTATAATGCAAGCATGTCAATAAGTATATAAACACGCACGACCATTAATTTCACGATGGGGAACACCTCACCGAGACCCAAGAGGGTCCAACGAATTTTTTTTTTTGAAGAGTAAAATAAAAATCTTGACAAATATTATTTTAGGTAAAAAAAACATAGGCAATGATACCCCAAGACGTTCATAATGGATCCCAGACAAAGGGATCCATAGCCAGAATTAGCCTCCCAACGTGAGGGCCAGAACCAGATGTTCGCAGGGCATCCTTCAGCGTCAGGGCACGTGGAGCCTCAACGACTTTTGCATTACCGGAGGGTTATTGTATGGCGGCAGAAAAGCGTCGCATTGCGCCTATTACGATTGATCTGAATGACTGCACTGAGCCCATCAAAACAAGGGAAAGAATCTCGTAATCTCGTGCGCATTCCCCCGTTTTAGTGCATTTGGAACCCGGCTGCTGAGGGCTACACTCAGAGCCACATCTCGCTGTTTGAGGGGCCCATGTTTTGGCTGTGCAATCTTTGGAGATAATTTTCCACCGCTCTCTTCTTCCCATCTCGCCTGTTTACAAATGCACAACGACAACGGTAAGACTTTCATTTGCACGTCATGAAATGCATAGCCTGCTCGTCGAGTAAAGGATTAAGGTGCAGCCCTGCAATTGCATGCTCAAGCCACTGCTGATGGAAGAGCCTCCAACTGAAGGGAGCTGTGGTGAGCACCTCAAGGGGGTGTTTTGGCCTAATCTTCCACACTGGCCAGATGCCTTGGAAGAGGTGGCAGTACCCACGTTTTACCCCACCACATATCACGTGCCAATCAACTGTGATTTACGCTGCTGGATGAACATAATTTTAAGAAACGTGTCCATCGCTTCAGCTGCCTCAATGGCAGATCGAACCAGTAACCTCTGGATTGCAGGTCCACTGTTCTAACCCATTAGGCCAGGGCAGCATCAGTAAATGTTAGCAATCAGAATAAATACTGTGCTAATCATAATGCATCATGGCATGATAGTGAAAATAACAATAAGCCTTCGTTATATTTAAGAGCACTGTTGTTTTATTTACAAGTATTCCCAAGTGTTCCGACCGGCTGGGTGAAAGTTATTTTTTGTGTACTACACTTCACAGTTGATTAATAGAAGAGGTTCACAGGCCCAACATGGCGAGCAGCCAGCAACAAACAGCACTGTTGCAATTTGAGATACCAGGCAAAGCCTTTTATCGACCGCCTCGGGATATTCCAACTCATTTGACCATTTTCCATTCTGATGACTATTTCGTGCACGTGCGTGTGTGCCACGCACATATCGGAACGTCAGAAGATGTCCCGAGGCTATGACAAGGCCATGCGGCAGGGCGTGTGGCACAGTTTGGCATCAGCTATCATAGAATGTGGTTGTGTCGCTGCAGTTCTCTGCGGCGACTACTATGTCTAATGCGGAGCCGCTTGCGCGCTCAGAGATGCGGTGGTGAACGGGACACGCCCTGCCCTGCAACATGCAGACGTCTCGGAACGGGAAAGGGTCAATTAGCTGTTTTAGACCCAGCTTTCCAAAAGCTCCAATTTTGAGATCTTTATGAACGCTGGTCAGAGCTCCTGCATCACCGTCACTCGAAGGTTGGCAGCTCCCGACCAGGCCGAGTTCCAGACGACTGGCGCAGACAAACGGAACCCCCCCCCCCCCCGTTCAGCCCTGACGTAGTTCAGTTTGCGTCACTTCCATCACTTCCAGGGTTGTGGTATCATATGAACGCAGCGCACGGCGGGGGATGCGAACCCTGTAAGCTTGCGAATGAGGTGCAACGGTTTTCTGTGTGGTTCCCACCGCCCCCGAGCATCCCTCGGATTGCCTGGTTAATCACCTGTGAATTCATCCGATGCCTCGAGGTCACGTGACCTCAGGGTTTCCTCGTTCAGAATTGTGGGTAGCATTTCTTCCACCAAATCGGAGTCTTCTTCCGTCTGATTGGCTCGATACGTGTTCCACGCTGATCAAAACAAAAAATGTAAAAGCATTTTTTCTTTTTTAAACTTAAACTCCTCTATTCCGATAATTACTTCTACGCTTTTTACCTTCCAAGTCTCTCTTTAATCAATTTAGCCGCAGAGCCGTTTTTACCATCTTGGCCACAGAGCAATTTCATTTCATAAAATGTCAGACTCTGCCCTTTTTAAAGTATTTAATCAATAAGTAATATAATTTATGTAAGCATTTTCAAAGGGAAAAAAAATCTGTCACGGAGCCATCGCACGAATTGGGCCCCCCGCTTCGTCCCGTTAGCCGAGCGAGCGGCGCGCCGTGGCGGCACCAGCGAGTCGGCCGAGCGTTCCGCCCGTTCAGCCACTTTGCGTGGATAACCCGAGTTTGACGTCCGAGCGTACATCAGGGGGAAATTCGTAGCTCATCGGATTCCTCCGGTGTAAATCAATCTTCTGATTCTGAAGTTAAAGTGTTCACAATTAAGGGCAGTTCTACAAATTAGTACTCTTGCCACAGCGCTCGTGATAGCGCTCTGCAGCAGAGTTGCGCCGGTTCCATCCCATCTGAAGCGCATTTTGACCTTTTGCTCCGTCATAAACAATAAATGCGAATGGGTGATAGGGTTTTAAATTAAATTTTCCTGTAAATTTTCTCAGTATGGTCGCCGGTTGTGACACTGATGGAGCATTGGCGCATTTCGTCATGAACCCGGCGACCCCATATTTGATTCCTCGCCACGGCCATCGTCAGTGGCGAGTGACGTTGTACGCGATTTTGCCCCCCACGACCCACCCTGACCCAGCAAGGTGAAGACCGGTCAAACTTACCCCCATGAAAACCAAAAACATTATGGGGAGGACTTCATCCAACAGTGGACTGACAAAGGGCTGTAAAATGATGCTACAATTCTTCTTGGTTCTTTCGGTAAAGTCACGTAAAAGGGAAGTAATAAATTAATAAAAATAAAACATAATAAAATAATTCTCACGACGTTTCGGCCACAACGCAAGCAGCCGTCATCAGGTGTAATTAATTATTTTTATTATTTTATTACTTCCCTTCTACGTGACTTTACCAAAAAAACCAAGAAGATGAATCCCTGCAGTCACGAAAGCTTTAAATCGAAATTTGATGCTATAATTATTACAAGATATTTTTTTTGCTAACTTTAAACTCAAGGGGTGGAAATATAGCTCTTTGCACTCGACGGTATGTGCTGTCAACAACGTGCGAAGCAGACCAGGAAAACGCTATTTTGTATTCACACCTCAAAATAACAATCGAAAGCATTTAGAAGCTAGAACTGAAACACTATAAGGAAAGCTGTCTCGGGTGTGGACCAATCAACTTCAAGGACAGTGCACATTATCAGAGTTATGTCTTTTGTTTGTATTATGACTGCAGGTATTGCGGTCTATGCAAACATGACTCCTTGTAAAAAGGTGTCAGTTTTGTTGCCAGATAGAAGGGTAAAAAAACAATTATTAGAACTGAAACGTTTCTGTGTGAACACGTACCAATGTCGTGTCAACGTTTCTGAGTAAGAATGCGCACCACCAAAGTGCAAAACGCTTAATTTTAATTTGCAAACAATGGCTTTCGAAATGACAACGCCATGCATCTATGATATGTGACCGCTATGAAATGCCAAGAATGTAAAATACGTAGTAATTTTATTTTTATCCCTTCCACGTCTCAGCCAGGTTACGAATTTGCTAAAAAAGTGTGCCAAATTCAGTGTGCAATTCAGAATGCCGTGACACATCTCCGTCTGGAACATTTCGCATGCTGAACTTCTTTCACCAACCTTAATAATTATCGGAGGTGAAATATCAACGACACGTGTGCAGCCTCGAGACAGAGTTCCCGCTAATAAATGTTTCGTGCTCTTTCATTCCCCCGTTTTCTACCCAACGGCACAAGCCATGCCCCCGCCGCTCGACTGCCACGGGTAGCGAACTCCACTGGCAGATCTCCCAAAGAAATTGGCCGTGAATCGCGTGAATTCTGCCAAGGGTTGCTTCCGGAAACTTTCCACCACCGAACTCTGAGCAAACGTAGCCCGATATTTACCAAAAACCGTCTCCAACCATTCCTAAGGCCACGGGCCGGATTGGCGGTTTGAGTCGTGATGCCAACGGCGGCGGTGGGGGGGGGTTTCACCCGCCCCCATTACTAGAGGGGTTCCAATGATCGCCTAAGGACGACCGCTTGTGTTGCGATCGAAACGTCGTGATATATTATCTTTTATTTCATTAAATTTTTCTACCTACGTGACTTTACCGAAAGAACCAAAGACCATGTAAAACGTGTCGTATTCACCGACGTCCAAGGCGGAGCATTCTGTCTACACGTGCGTGTGTGTGTCCGCACGAGCGCATGCATGCGTGTGTTCATTCACCGGGCTGGGAGCGCTCAGAAGCATCAGCCACAAACTCTCGAATGCACTCCACCCACAGAAAGAGCACGCTCTCTCCCAGATTCTGGCTGCACACAGGTGCCGGTGGGTGTACAAACACCACACGTGCACGCGCAGAAAGACATATGGAGAAAACAAAAACATTCAATGTTTAGACTGCAAGACCGAAGGAGCAAGGGCACAGGCCCACGCTCACATACACAAACGCAACAGCAACAACAACAGACGTCCTTCGCCACTATTAAATAGTGACATCACCGCAGGGATTGTGTCGTGCTAGATGCACTTGGAGACCACGCGAAAAGTGCCTAAGGCTCGCTAACAGGAGGTCAAGGGACAGACCCAGGTGTTGTGGGTTAATTGAGTGACACGGACTGGAAGGTGCATCGGAGGGCAGAGGAACGACACTCGTAGCAACGAGCAAAGCACCAGGCAGCTGGAACACAGCAAGGTGGCACAGTGGGAGCTGCAGGTGGTGCATCTGCCAGTCATCCTCTTGCCATTCAGATCCAGAACATGCAAAGACAGATAGTGGCAAACATTTTTGGGGCAAATGTAGTTCGTGGCCACTTATTCAGCCTGGCACACAACTCACGTGGGGTTGTGTGGTCAGCTCCATATGCCTGACCACCTTTGTCTCCCCAATGCAGATGTTTACACACGAGACAGGTTCATGGCTACGAATGAAACTCACGTGACCGAGTTCAGAGTGCGGTGAGCCACTGCTCCCACCATGAGCAGCCACAAAGACAAGGGATCACCCCGTGAAGCCTTAACAGGGGGGTTGGTGTCAGTTTCAGTGCTCCAGTTATAATGTGCATCGCATTATTTAATCCTGCACCTAGCCGTGTTTTGTGTACGAGCTCCTGGACCAGGCAGGAGCACAGCGACTCTGCGACTGAAGTAGATCAGAGAGAGGGCGGCAGTTGGCAGCACATCAACTGAGGTGTGCCCAGGTTGTTCCTGAATGTGTCTGTAGCATTTTTTTTATTTAAAGCTTTCGTGACTGCAGGGATTCATCTTCTTGGTTCTTTCGGTAAAGTCACGTAGAAGGGAAATAATAAAATAATAAAAATAAAACATAATAAAATAAAATTATTCTCACGACGTTTCGGCCACAACGCAAGCAGCCATCCTCAGGTGAAGAACAGGTCTATCGGAAAGTCATTCAGACGCTGTCTTTCCGACAGACCTGTTCTTCACCTGAGAACGGCTGCTTGCATTGTGGCCGAAACGCAGTGAGAATTATTTTATTTTATTATGTTTTATTTTTATTATTTTATTATTTCCCTTCTGTGTGACTTTACTATCTGTAGCATGTTGGGCAATGGCTAAGTGTGAATTGGCTCAGTAACTCGGTCAGTGTTAAATTTCTTATCAGTGTAATAGGCGATGAAAAATAAAACTAAAATAGACCCGTGCTCAAAATGCAAACATATTTTTTACATTTCGTTAAACTTTTGTGTAACACTTCTGATGTTTAGAAAAAACTAATTTGGTCATTAAAAGCAACATTGCCAATGTTCTTGGTTCTTTCGGTAAAGTCATGTAGAAGGGGAGTAATAAAATAATAAAAATTGAACATAATAAAATAATTCTCACGACATTTCGGCCACAACGCAAGCAGCCGTCCTCAGGTGAAGAACAGGTCTGTCGGAAAGGCATTCAGACGCTGTATTTCCGACAGACCTGTTCTTCACCTGAGGACGGCTGCTTGCGTTGTGGCCGAAACGTCGTGAGAATTATTTTATTATGTTTTATTTTTAATTATTTTGTTTTATTTATATTATTTTGTTTTATTTTTATTATTTTATTACTTCCCTTCTACGTGACTTCACCGAAAGAACCAAGAAGATGAATCCCTGCAGTCACGAAAGCTTTAAATCGAAATTGCCAATGTTCCCGAAGAGGAAAGTTATGATTGTAAGTAACCCGCTTTGAGACAAGTGGGCTATGGCAAAGAAAATGAAATAATGAGCAAAAGATGTACGCAAACAAGCGTGAAGAGCTGCACGTCGGGAATTACACCGAACGACAGAGGCACGCATGGTCCAGAGGGCAAACACATCTTGGAGATGTCCTCACGCCGATCGTCAAGAAGAGTCGCTGGGCTTGGGCAGGACGCTTGGCGACAAAATGATGAAGGCGAACGGTGGAGCACGCTGCTGACAGGACGGAAGCCGAAGGAGCTCTCGGTCGAACGCGACGTCCGATTCCAGAAATACGTGCGCGCCACAAATTCCTGCTCATTGTTATTACTTGTGCTGCTACTATTGCTACGTACGTACGCATGTTGAACTGCTTCCGCGCCGTACGTAGCCAACCGTGCCAACTTGACATGCGCAGGAGGACGACCACCGTGGAGGCAGAGCAAAGAGGTCAGCTCACGTAGAGGAGCGAGACGCATTACGGCATCGTAGGGGGAGCGAGAGATGACCCCGGCATGCGGAGGTAACTCGTCCAGCAGTAGATAGGGCATGGATGATGATTTCTATTATAATGTTTAGCATTATTAGGAGCAATTTTTGGTGATTTGTATGCCTAATGCTTCAAGCGCTTCCGTTCCTTCCCTGCCTAAGCATGCCCACTCTGATTTAAAATGTTCGTGACATTAAAAAGAAAGCAGCTATGTTGCTGCGAGACAACATTCACGTTTGAGTCTCTCGGCTAATTTAATGGTAATTGTAGTTAATTAGATGCCCATTAGACTATTTGTACAGCCTTGTAATTCCTAGCTGAAGTGTTAATTACAGCCATCCTGCCCATCCATGTAACCATGCTCTGCTCATATGGTCACATCTGGTGTATATTTAACAAAAAAATGTTTTATCTCTTCCCAAGAGATCATTCACTGGCAATAGGTTTAAAATAATTGACTCGTGTTGTTGTGCACGGACACTCCGTATAATTAAAATAGATCACAATTATGTGCCATGTATTCACGAAAGAACGTGTAGGCTGAGTATAAGGAATATATTTCAAGAGGGTTATGCAATGGGACGTTTGGCCACTTCCATTAGTGAGCATTCGGCTTATCGCGAGAACTCAGAGTGCACGGAGAAAGCCTATACATACAAGAAACTGAGAAAATGTGTCAGTAACATTGCCTTAATGCGAATACAATAAATAATAGGGGATGTGTTTGGCAATGGACCTTCTTCATAGCACATGCCTATGAAGGACAACAGCACATGACTATGAAGACAGACGACTGACCACAAGGTTGCCTATTATATAAACAACAACAAAAATCCTTCTTTAAAAAATGACGAAAGCTTTGAGTTCTTCTTCGTTATTTGTACGCGTGCAGGATCGCCAAAAGCAGCATCACAAAATAAAGTGCATCGCTCACAGCCTCGCACAGACAGATACAAGATCCCATCGCTGTAGTTCCATTCCCTGGCCACCTGGCAGTCAGGCTCAACCATGCCGAACTCTTGAGATGACACGAAATGGGGCACATTCGGGGTGACTTTTTGTCAAAGTGGGCTACTGATTGAAAATACTCATCCTCTGTCATCAATAACACAGCCATACACCGTGAAATTAAATGTTAGGTTAACATTCTTGGGCACTGGCAATCCCCTCAACGATTTAAATTCTTGTTTCAAATGTGCCGCTCGTGACTCACTATCTCGCTGGCTCTCAACGGGTAAAATAAAGTTCTCTCGTTCTTAGATTACCGTAACTTTACTAAAAAAAACACGTCTATTGCTGCGATTTATGAACGAAATAAAAGGAAACGAATGCAAGCAACAATTTTGCCCCCGACACTGAAACGAATGGAAACGGCATTTGCAACTCGAGAATTTTCTTCCCGCGATAAGGACGCTTGCCGAATGCCAATTTCTACAATTCACTTTCAAGTGCCCGACGGCCATCTGATAGCCGTTGACAAACCTGTATATTTCCTCCAGGCGGGCAGAGAGGGTCCTCTTATCTTCCCTGGTGAGCCAGGGCCCGCTGGACAGAGCACACATTGCAACGACAACAACAACAAAAAACAGCATTGTCAGCGTGTCACAAGCTATGGGACCACTGTACACAAACGCCAGCATGCGATTCATTCATTATGTAACAACCGGTTGTCCATGCCACTCTTCTGCGGAGGCCTCACTGCCCCCTCCCCCCCATGTCGTATCAGTCGCGGGTTTGGGGGACTGTTCTCCCATACTTCACCAAGCTGGTCAGTACAGGATGGTGAACCTTATCATAATAATCAAAAAAACTCCTATCCAGGGGCCTACCCTGGCTCCCCCCCCCCCCACTCAACCAGTATATATACAAGGTCGGATCTCTTGGAATTTCTCATTTACTTGATACAGCTATCATGCTGTGACGGTTCCACCTGAAGACGGAAGCTTGTGTTGCCTCCGAAACGTCGTGATTTTTGTTTTATTTTAATTTTACTTTTATTAATTTTTATTTTTTTACCTACGTGACTTTACCGAAAACCTAAGAATAGGATGGTGAAGTTGGGGGTAAGGCCAGTGACCATTTAAAATATCACCCACCGCCGATGTTAAGCCGTGGCAGGGAATGCAAACCCAAGTCGCTGGGTTGAATGAGCGCAGTATACTAACGACTGCACCACCATTAAGCCCCAGCCTGGCACATATACACTACACACAGCAAATGCGTATGCATGTGCACACATGAAATCCTGCGCACACAAATGCAATCGCTGTGCCAATATTAAGAGAATCCCAGCTTTGACATGCTTATCTGGGACTTTTGACCCACGTGAGCACGCTACAGAACGTGGAAAGACCCTCACTTCTAGGTCAAAAGCCATCTCTGCCCCGACCATCTCTTTAAGCAACACTCCAACAAAACAATATTTCATTGTTCTTGGTTCTTTCGGTAAAGTCACGTAGAAGGGAAGTAATAAAATAATAAAAATAAAACATAATACATTTTTATGTTTTATAATAAATTATTATCTTTTATTTTTATTATTTTATTACTTCCCTTCTACGTGACTTTCGTGACTGCAGGGATTCATCTTCTTGGTTCTTTCGGTAAAGTCACGTAGAAGGGAAGTGATAAAATAATAAAAATAAAACATAATACATTTTATGTTTTATAATAAATTATTATCTTTTATTTTTATTATTTTATTACTTCCCTTCTACGTGACTTTACCGAAAGAACAAGAAGATGAATCCCTGCAGTCACGAAAGCTTTAAATCGAAATATTTCATTGGTTTTGAGCTTTTAGCACTCGCCAGTAAAGTTAAATGAGTTAGGGAATTGCCCAAGTGTGCAATAATGTCTGGTCGTTTGAATAAGACCATAAACAACGCAAAACTAGAATCGTATTATTAAATGGTCTCGCGAATTGACATCACAAAATAACTTTTGGAGTTAGCTTAATAAGCCTCCCATATCTCACTCACTAGGTTTTTTTCATTTAATTGTTTTTACAAGACCTCGCGTTTTCATTATTAACCTCAGTTTTATAACAAATCACCCGAACCTTAGCGCATCTTGCCCATTTTTATTAATAACCCAATGCGTTTACAGAAGACGGTGTTTCATCAGCGAGTATTACCTTCGAAGAAACATGAAATATGACAAAGAAAACAGAACAAAGGCTGAAAAGTGTACAAAAAAACCCACGGGGAGGTGCACGCTTCGAATTAAACTGAGATGCAGAAAGAGAAACAGGTGGATTAGAGAGAAAGTGCGCATCACTTCTGCGGCCGTCTGGAACGCTCTTCCTTCCGATATTAAGAAGCCACCGGAGCTATGCACTTTTAAATCCAAATTTAAAATAATTTCTTGAAAACTGCTTTTTTGCTAAGTTTGTTGTCCTTCTCCCGCACCTCCTATTAGCGCGGTTGGCTACGTACGGTCCGAAATAAGTTCAACGTAGGTTACATACAAACACAAGAGACATCCTATTGACAGCTAAAAAACACAAGTGGGATGGACCGATGGCCGGTGGCCAAGGTTAATGTCGGTGTGGCAGCCAAGAGGATGCCCACCACAGAGATGGAGTGATGAAAATCACCCTGACGTGGAGGTTCCAGGTAAATCGTTACACCGCGGGACGATGGAGAAATGGTGAAAGCTTGGAGAGGCCTTCATTCAGCAGCGGACAACTCCATGACCGACAATGACGACGACTACCTGGCGTTGTAGTTGAGGCTGTGTGTATTTGACCAGTGCGGCGGCTACCTCGTGTTGGAGGTGAGGCCGTGTATAGTGGCTACCTCGTGTGGTAGGTGAGGCCGTGTATAGTGGCTACCCTGCGTTGTAGTTGAGGCTGTGTGTATTTGACCAGTGCGGCGGCTACCTCGTGTTGGAGGTGAGGTCGTGTATAGTGGCTACCTCGTGTGGTAGGTGAGGCCGTGTATAGTGGCTACCCTGCGTTGTAGGTGAGGCAGTGTGTATTTGACCAGTGCGGCGGCTACCTCGTGTTGGAGGTGAGGCCGTGTATAGTGACCAGTGCCACGAGAGATGTGTGCCACTCACTTGAGCTGGTAGCTTGGAGGTGCCTGCCCTGGGTAATCTGCAGGAAGCGTCATCTGTGACCAAAATAGAGGGTGATGTGTCGATTGTTAAATAGCATCACAGCAACGCCCTCTGCATGTGATTATATAAATCGATAAGAAACACATTTTTTTTTTACTTTACCAGGTAATCCCACTGAGCTATATAGCTGTTTTTCAGAAGCGATCTGGCCACACATGATAACTCAACGAAGCGGCTTATCGCGTGTAAATTTATAGCAGTCAAATACTCGAAACGCACGTTCATTATAAATGCGGATGGGAAAACCGCAAGGACCCGAAGAAAAATCCATGCAACCACGGGGAGAACATACGAACTCCAAACATACAGGCACTGGCCATAAGAAGCAAAATGCAAGTTGCCACTGTCTAAATTATTGAATTAGCGCGATGAAAATCAGATGTTATTGCTACTCGAGGAAGCATTCGACAATTCGCCTGCTTTCCAAGCGCTTTGATGAATTTGCATGGTTAGGGGTCGCAATTCATTTCCAGCATTGACTCATTTTTAGACGTTACCAGCTCTTTCATGTTTTTACAAAAAAGAAATGTCCGTCATGTTGGCACAGCGATGTTTGCTCCATCAGCGCGTCTGCATCATTAGCATACATTAGCAAAGCAAATTACGATGAACACATCCTCACACTCCAGATTTTTTACCATTTATCATTAGACTAAGAGCTGATTTTAATTAATGAATTGGTGATTTGGGACATGCTTCATTATTAACACTGACTAAATTGATCGACATATAATGGGCGGCTGCCTAGCTTAATTGGCGACTGCCTATGATTAAACTGACTTCTCAACTGTGGCCGGTCACGAATTGCTTGCATACAGAGCCACACATTGACGCAGAGACTCGTAGATTAACATAGACTCGGCTGTGGTCAAACAGGGTCCTGAAGAGCGGTGAGATGATGGTCTCAGTCCAGTCACCAACGGATGCACGAAAAATCCTCCCATCAAATTAAATAAGATCGTATTCTTAGGTTATGTCGGTAAAGTCACGTAGGTATAAAATTAAAATTAATAAAAGCAAAATAAAAATAAAATAAAAATCACGACGTTTCCGAGGCAACACAAGCTTCCGTCTTGTGTTGCCTCCGAAACGTTGTGATTTTAATTGTATTTTTATTTTACTTCATAAATTAAATTTTTTTACCTACATGGTGACTTAAGAATATGAATCCTTGCAGTCACGAAAGCTTCAAATCTAGAATAAATAAAATCGCATTTCTTAATTGGTTTGAATTATAGGTGTGAGTGTCAACACTGGCGTGACTGCAATGTGATCGTCTGTCAGCGCGGGGGGGAAAGTGTGCGCTCCCGACTGTGCGAGCAATAACACGAGATGAGGAAGGATATGAGGATAATTCCGGAGGCTTCCTGTGAAACATCCTCGCCTGCCGTCATTCTCTGACAACTGCTGCGACGGCGACCTCTGCATCGCAGGTCCACTGTGCTAACCATTACGACACTATGGCAGCATTCAACCCCTTACCATTCCGATGACGTACGCGTACCGGTTTCGATTTGATGACGTACGCAGTAGGGAGCACACTTTTCCCCGCACTGACAAGACGATCACATTGCAGTCACACCAGTGCTTAATACGCGTACGTCATCAAAACGAAACCGGTTAGAAAAAGTAAAATAACTTATTCGGTACCGAGGCTCCCAGAAGGCCATGCGGGAGGGAGTGTAGCACTGTTTGCCACCAGCTATCATAGAGTGCGGTCGTGCCCCTACAGTTCTCTGCGGTGAGTACAATGCCTTTGAAAACAACAGCGCTACGTCTCTCTGAAACAAAATTAGCGCCAAGCCGCTTGAACCATTCCGAAATACCCCACGACTTGCAGGTGTCTTGGGAATGGGAAAGAGTTGTACGTACGTACGTTGGAATTCTTTCGCACCATACGTAGCCAACCACACTGATCGGAGGTTGCGGTTTAAGCTTCCCACGCGTGCCAATCCGAACCCGTGAAGCCGCGAAGAAGCCGGTCACGGCGGCCGGTCGGCACGCCCTCTCGGCGCTCACCTGCAGCGAGACGGAGAGGCGCCGCGGCGGGTCCTGCCCGTTCCCGACGCTGATGCAGAACGAGCGCGCAGCCTCGTCCAGGGTACACCACTCATCCCCGTAGATAGACGACATGGCTTCCACCTCATCCGCCTGGGAGGGGTGGGGAGGAGAAGGCGCGGACAGGACTACGGCGCTTGTCGAGGTGCCAACATCCTCCTGGCTTGCCCCCAAGAAGGGCACCGCGGTGGCGGAGATGTTAATTGCCTTGCTCGGTATGCGGGAAGTCGTGGGTTTGGTCCCGACTCCTGATGCCGGTTGTATATTAGGAGTTGGCGTGTCTCTCTCGCTTTTAGAGTATTTGGCTGCGATACATTTCCACGTGATAAGCAACTTCGTTGAGCGAACATTTGTGGCCACGTAGCTTCTGAAAAAGAGCTATATAGCTCAGTGGGCCTTAAATGGTCAAATAGAAAGTTTAGTTTTTGTAGAAGCCAGTACAGAACAATGTGTTAAGTCTGTGTGGGATCAAGTTTTGCTCCCTCGCAAGCGTGGGGTTTTCTCTGGGTGCTCCAGTTTCCGCCCGCAAGTATACGCTCGTTAGTTGGCCAACAACGCCTTTACATACAGAGTATTGCAGAGCTGGGGAAATTATTGCTGCCGGCTCATCGCGTGGCTGTCTTTTCCGCGCGTCTGATTCCTCGCGCCTCCTGAGTCATTCTCTCTCTGTTACAAGTTAAAAGTTATTGTCATGAGCGCACACAATGTCGCACGTCCGACCATCAGATATCCGCCGTGACCAAGTAACCGCCAACACTCGGGTCGGTACTTGTGTGTGGTGTGACGCTCATTTTCCTACGCAGCGTCACTCATGAATCTGCTTCAGACACCAAGAGCTCAAACTGTTACAGCCTCAAGTCGGTTCTAATTTAATCAAACATGCAATATCATAATAGTAACATACAATACTATATATAATAGAAATGTTAACACGTAGGCTTTCGCGACCGATACGATCCATAAGAGGTTTTTGGGTTAGACCGCTTAAATACAAATGTGTCGTTAAACCCGCCACCACCAGACACGTAAACACCACAGGGCAGTTCTTTACTAGTACAGAACAGCGGTGAGTTGGAGAGTAAATACACAACATTGGCAATTAGAGATCTCTCCAACACACCGGTTAGTGCTGTACTAGTGACGAATTGGCCACGTTCTGTTTACGTGACAAATCCCTTACTAGTTGGCTGTGTCGGGTGGTGGCGGGTTAAATAACACAATTATATATTTACGCGATCTAATCCAAAAAATAACCTGTATTGCAAGACGTTAACAAGCAAAAAAAACCTAACTTAATGTTTGAAATTAAATTCATATTTTGGGCACATTTTTTTCTGTGTTGGAACAATTATACACATTATTTACGAAAAGGGCGATTTGGGAAAGTGTTCCAGTATCTCGTTCCCCCACTACTCACTACCTCCCCCAAGTGTCCACACGGGGAGCTGTGAGAATGCCAAGAAAACTCGAGGCTTTTACAAGTGCCAACCACCATATAGCCCTCTGTCAATCCAGTGCTGGATGAAAGCTTCCTAATGCTGTATCAATCACCGTGGGGGGAAGGGGGAGAAGGGGAACGGCGGTAGTTTGGCCATGCTTTGCCACTCTCGTCAGCGCGGGGTTGGTAAATAGGACGAGGCCAAGAGCAGTTTAGATAAAACTCATCACTCATGTTGACCATGGTCAGGATTCGAACTCACGTGGCAGGGTTCATGGTGCAGTGTGCGAACCGCGGCACCACCGCTCCGTTTGGTGCATTAAGAGCTACGAATGTGAAACCTTGCCCCTGCAAGCCCACGCCCACAAATATTGTCAAGGGCTTCCCAATGCATTTGCTTTCATAGAATATTTTGCTCGCACAAACTATGCAATAAAAAATGTAACCACAAGGTCATGGGGAAAATATAAAAAAGTAAAACAATGGAGTGTGCGATGCTGCTGCTGCCTCTTCCCCCCCCCCCCCCCATTGCATAAACGCAACGAGCCACGGCGTTCCATCATCTCGCGATGCCGAGGGTCACTGGGAATGTGTTCGAGAAAGCAAAAATTTTAGTTTGGTTTCGAAATTTTGTTGCTTTTTTTTTATTTGGACCATGTCTCACGCAGCGGTACACCAGAGAGGCCAAATTTAAACTGCTCCTCGTCCCAACAAGAACATTCAATGGCAAAAAAAGCAATGCCACCGTAAGAAACGTAACAAAAGCTAATCTCCCTATGCGTGTCTTTTTCTTTCTTCGTAGCGAGCGGTGGTGTATCGGTTAGAGCGCTGCGCTACGAACCCGCCGACCCGAGTTGGATTTCCGCTCACGGCCAACACCAGTGACGAGTATCTGAACGGTCCTGCGCCCCCCCCCCTAGGTCGACTCAGCCTCAATGAAACAGCTGGTGCGATGTGTAAAAGCATTACAGCGAGGGATACAAAGGTGGACGGGAATGGTGTTGGCCAATCTCCCCTCGTGTGTAGCTCCAGCCTTCATAGGCGTTGCTTGCTAATCGCACTTGACCCAACAATCTGTTAAGGCTATACTGGGGGGTCTTTGTCTTTGTTTTTTCATACAATAAATGCATGTAAATTATGAGCATGATGCCAAATGTCGTATTTTTTGTGATGTCTTCCCTTTTATTTGGCCAGGCAGCTCAGCGGTCGGGCGAGCGACTCACAGCCAAAATGTTGGGAGTTCAAATTCCGGTTGGAGGTTGACTCAGCCCATCATCCTGTTTGGGGTGGATAAAATAGGTATCACTTCCTGGGAAAGTCAACAGTGGTCGTCCTATGGATAGACTCGTCCCTGCCATAGGAATGTGGCATTTCCATCACTGGCTCAGGGCTGCAAAGAGGAGATGGAACACCACCTAAACATGAATTTGAACAAGAACTTGCTTTTTTGTATATCCCTCTTGAAGTATTTGTTGTTTCCAAGTATACAAAACCGCATTGCGGATTCACAAAATCAATACGTGAATAGTGATAAATGGAAAATGTATTGCCAGCAGGCAGTCCCTTTCACTTCTGCTGATATTGTTTAAGTCTCAAGAATGAAGACACACTGCTGTACCACAACCAGGCTCCATATAGAGGCCTATCACGGAAATTACATTTAGGGCAATTAGGAGTTAGCCAAAAGCAAAAAAAGCCACAATCTCATCCTTATTATTAGAATCCGTGTTCAATCTAGGATACACGGCTAATTATTTTCATTACCTTCCCTTTATCCACCACCGTTTCTCCTCCACCCTCCCCCAAAACTGCCACTGCGATGAAAACAATCAAATTTTTAGTTCCTATCGAGAGGACTACAACACTGGTTCCTGTGCTTTATTCCGTGCGTGCACCGCTATATGTATGCCTCGCGGCAGTTCGCTTGGTCGAATGCTTCGCTTGTGTGCTCTGAAAAGTGCCCTTCCCCGGTTATTGGAAATTGGCAAAGTTACATCCCGTCTGACATTTTGTCTCAAATAACTTACTTGGTAGCCTGATATGGGTGGGTTAGGTGTGAGCCACCTGGCCACATCAAGACATTTTCCACCTCGAGTCCTGAATTATTGAGATGGATTGTCAAAATGTGTAAATCACTGGCCAGGAAATTTATTACAGACCTGACCAAACTTCCCGTGCCTAATTCTGAATAATTCATGAATAAATGTCCACGCATAGACCGGAGTAAGATTGAGTGATTTTCAGCTTTACAGAGAGCTAACTGGCAGTAAGCTCCAGGACTTTAGCTTTGATCCAAGGGCCAAGGCAAACATGGTACCAGCTATGTTGGCAAAACGTTAGCAGCACCAATGTATTTACATGGAATATATTTTGTAACCCACGAAGTTCAAATGGCTATCACGTAATCCACTGTTATTGGCCACACAAAAACATTGTAACTCCTAAAGTGTTGCCACTTTAGGAGTTACCGGGCAAAAAAATAATTCGGTCTGGGCTATGAAGACTATTTGTGGAAATGCTACAGGAGAAGACTTAGTAAAACAGAACACGTGCACAAGCAGCACATTCAGTGGTTAGGGGAGACAGAAACTTGGTCCACACCAAGGAGTGTAGCGATGCATAGAATAATTGATTAATATACATTCCGAAGCTCACGATACAAGAATCAAATCGCGTGCGTAAAAATCAATGCTTTTTCAATTCACACAGGTAATGGCTTCTTCACGTGACACGTGGAGGCATAAAGCGGTCGGTACATTCATCTCGATTTTAATAAAATAATACAATCTTGAATAAAATGTCATGATCCCGAATCGTGACAATTCATTACATTGCCAGGTGGGGCAACCACGAGTGGCCGCTATATTCATATCTTGTATAATAATAACAACAACAACAACGCCAAAGTCGTGCATAGGCATTGATTCTGCAATGACATCTAACATGCGTTTTTTGTTTCCTCAAAAGTACTTAATGAGCGATAATAACAATGTGACACGTGATGATGTCGTCAACTTTATATTACCACTTCATTTACATCGGATCGTCTTTACAAGGTTCGCGTGACCCCGCAATGAAGGCGGAGGGATGGACGGAGCTAACGCCCTTGACATTCGTAGAAAATCTGGAGAAGGGGCTAATTTGTGACACTTTGTGTGAACACGTCACACACCTTGCAGCCTCAATAAATTGATAGATGGTAGACACGTTCCACCTTGAAGAATGGCTCCGACTCAACCTCCTGCATAGTAATACGATTCATAATCACCATTGTCACAATCATTATATTTCCATAGTAATTTTCACAACTTTCTTTAAATCATTCTACAGCCGAAAGTGCAATGCTTCATTAGTCGAAGTGTCTGTGAACGTGCCCTCAAATATACAAGGCTGCCAATTTTATTAATGAGAAGGAGCTCTAGAATTATCAACTTGTCCACCCAACGAGCATCTCTATAAAAACACAACTGTAATTATCTTGTCCCACAAAAGTGCATCTCATTTGCTGACCTGACCCTAAAGCTCGCCTGGTGCACAGTAAATAATTAACAAATGCTTCTGAGTATTCCATACCGCAACTGATAAACAGGGACATCTAATGCTCTATTTTAATGGGACAAATAAAATTGCATTGCATTAACTGCCATACCTGAGGGAACCACAGTTAAAATTGAAAGGCTCTATCTGCTGATGCCTGACGAATGGATTGACAATTATTCAGAAAGACTTTTAAAATAAACGAGTTTATTCAATTTCTAATACTGAAGTGGTAGCAAAAGAGCTAGCGCACTGCACTATGAATCCAGCTATCCGAGTTTGATTCCTATCGATGGCTAACATCAGTGGTGAGTGATTTCTGAACCATATCCTGGAAGATCCCCTTTTCAGCAGACCACACTGAGCAGCACGGTGACGTATGGCCAAGCAACCCCCAAAACCAATACGGCATGGGGAAGCATCTATTCAGCACTGGATTAACAATGGGTTATATCATGAGAACTCATTTGCCAGCTGTACGCCTTTTGGCGTCCTCTGGTCTAGCACCATATGAAGACGAGGCTCAAAAGAAAGCTGTCTCTGGTGTGGACCAATCAGTTTCAATGACAATGCATATATTATCAGTGTGTTTTTTGTTTGTATTCTGACCACAAGTATTGTGGTTAATGCAGACATGATTCCTTGTAAAAAGGTTTCAGTTTTGTTGCCAGAAAAAAGGGGAGAAACCTATTCTTTTATAGGGGTTATATGTTACCATTTTTCCAAATGGCTACACTAACTTTACATCATTAACTTTGGATATTTGCTGAACAATGGAGGTCTCAGCGAGGCTTCCCTGTTCCAAATGAATTATATTATAGTGAGCCTATGGGCATTCTTACAGATTGACAGATTGCAACCAAAAACTGACATCAACTTCAATGCACGTGTTCACGCCAAGAGCTACCCAGATATCATGAGCAGGAGTCCTGACCCCCAGTCTCAACTTTGCCACCCTTCAGCAGCAAATTGTGGCCGTCAAGACACTCGAAGCTGTGATTTTATTTGGCAGAAGCAGTCACCCATGAACTACGTTCTGCGGCCAAAAAAAATGCATCTGCAGTAGTAATGAGCAAAATAATTGTACCGGCACTGCGTTCCATTAACAAATCGGAGAAATATCTCGCATGATTTGAATTCAGCTTGTTTGCAGGTGTAAAAGGGTGCTGTGGATTGTTACATTGGAGGACCGTAAGAGATGACAGCGAGTTTGTAGGGAGGCCATCACCCAGCAGGGGATAGATCAGGGCTGATTATGATTTGAATCAAAATTAATTTAATTCAGTTACCGTGTTCCGAAATAAGTCTACATTATAGACTGCCAGTACGGCTCACTCAGGTTCAGTTTAATAACCATTGCTACAATCTACATTATAGACTGCCAATAAGCTCACGAGCTTAAAAAACAGGCTATAGTCTACATTATTGACTGCAAGTACGCTTACTTTTTTTTTAATCTACGTGACTTTACTGAAAGAACCAAAGAATATTCTTATTATGCCAATTAAAAAACTGATCAGAAAACATTTTCCAAAATAATTCTCGTCAAGCCCCATGGTTTAAGTGCCGTCCCTACCCCGTATGAACTCGTGTCTCTATCGCCTATTTATGTGCTTTGAAAGAGGGTCATTGCCTGAAACGTCACCAATATATGATTGTTCTTTTAAGGCGGTATTATTTTACGTGTTGAGGGTTTTTATTTTTTCATTAGCGCATCGTTAACATTGCCCACGCAGTGGAATCACCAAACAATGAGTTTCATTATCTGGATTATAAAGTCACTCCGGAAATTTAAAACGTACGGCTGAAGTGTTCGATGTCCATAACGTTTTTCTTTTTTTTATCTGCTCACAAAACATGTACAGGTGTCAGTGGTCGGGATCGAACCCACGTCCTCCTGTATACCAGGCGAGGTAGTTAACACCTCCTTGCCACCGCGGCGCCAATACGCGGTTATTCGGATTACAAGACGCACTTGCCCCCATGTGATTTAAGTCGAACGTTGAGAGTGCACCTTTACATTTTGTTGTCTCTCTCTGCTTGTGTGTATCTGTGTGTCTCTGCTTGTGTGTCTGTCTTTGTGTCTATGTTGTGTCTCTCTCTCTGTGTCTGTGTTGTGTGTTTCTGTCTGCTTGTGTGTCTGTGTGTCTCTGTGTTGTGTGTCTATATTGTGTGTCTCTCTTTGCTTGTGTGTCTGTCTGTGTGTCTCTGCTTGTCTGTCTGTGTGTCTCTCTCTCTGTGTGTCTGTGTTGTCTCTCTCTGCTTGTGTGTCTGTCTGTGTGTCTCTGCTTGTGTGTCTCTCTCTGCTTGTGTGTCTGTATGTGTGTCTGTGTTATGTGTCTCTGCTTGTGTCTCTCTCTGTGTGTCTCTGTGTTGTCTATCTCTCTCTCTGCTTGTGTGTCTGTCTGTGTGTCTATGTTGTGTGTCTCTGCTTGTGTGTCTGTCTGTGTGTATATGTTGTGTCTCTCTCTGTGTGTCTCTGTGTTGTCTCTCTCTCTCTGCTTGTGTGTCTGTCTGTGTGTCTATGTTGTGTGTCTCTGCTTGTGTGTCTGTCTGTGTGTATATGTTGTGTCTCTCTCTGTGTGTCTCTGTGTTGTCTCTCTCTCTCTCTCTGCTTGTGTGTCTGTCTGTGTGTATATGTTGTGTGTCTCTCTGTGTGTCTCTCTCTGCTTGTGTGTCTGTGTGATTCCGTGTCTATGTTTTGTCTCTCTCAAATTTAGTTCTACCTGATGACGGTTGCTTCTGCTGCAATCGGAACGTCGTAATCTATTATTTAATTTATTTTCTTTCTACGTGGCTTTACAGAAAGAACCATCAGGTAGGTCGCTTCTGGAAAAAAAAATAGCAGTGGTGAGCCTGACCCGGTAACAAATGTAAATTTAATAAAACACACAATTTGACACCGCGTTGCATCTTTAGAAAGCGTGTCTCTTCTGCCCCCTGGTGGACATAAAAGGGGATGTGACCATTGCATGGCACGGGAAGTGGAACGATGCTCAGGGACCGGCCCCTTTCTGTTCGTGGCCTAATCCCACCACTTCGCGGAGCGGACGAACTCGCATCCTCGCCAACAAAATTGTCCCCGACTCAGCGAAACTCATCAACAGCGGCGGCGTGGCTGAAATACGACGCAACGGGCACACCGCTGACAAACACGGGTCGACGGGTAGCAGCAGCAACAGCAGCAGTAGCAGGGGCAGCTGCTGCGTTTATTTCCGAGTCAAAAACTAACCGAGCACTCCCAATTGAGGTGGCCCCCGAGAGCTTCGTCGTTAAATCCCGTGACACGGCGCTGATTCGCCTTCTCTAAACTCACCTGCCTCGAGATGTCGTCCTCTGCGCTTGCCATCACGGCATCGCCCGCACTGCGCGATGATGTCCTCCTGTTGACAGGGGGTGGGGTGGGAGAATGTGGCCTCGTGTGACACGGGGAAGGCTACGGGGGGCCGGGCATGGGGGGGAGGGGGGGATGGAACGGGCCCTGAAAGCCCGACACGAGGTCAACTCAAAAGTGTGTCCGGACCGTACCCCCCGGCGTCTCTACAACGTGGCTCGGTGTGAACAAACAGCGCCACCGTGCACCACCGCGGTCCGAGTTCGTATCGGCGTGCTTTGTCGGAGACGATCTTCTCCGTGAAGACCAAATTGTAAGAGGGGTGGCGGGTGTTGATTAAATATTCTGGGTTTTGGGTTTGCTGGGGGGTTTTTTTGCATTGCGGATTTACCGGTGAATGTCTGTGTTGGTCGGTTTTGGCAGCACGTAGATACAAACTTCAAGAGCAAAATAGACGCGTTTGAGCCATCCCCTCGTATTTAGGGAACAGTTATTTGAAAAACGTGTCGAGTTTTTGCAAATGTTTTCGTGACTAAAGGTCAGGATGTCTATTGTGTTTCACAACGATGTTTTTTTTCTTCCCGTCATTATGTACACCACTTATGTAAAACGCTTTGTGTGGAACACAATCATTAAAGCACGGGAAAAAATGCGCCGAGTTTTAATGACACTATTCATCATGATTTGACACCTGCACCCCCCACCTAATGCGTCTGCCATCAACCCGCCCTAAATTAACTAAAACCCCAACGAACCCCACATTAGTTCACGCTACGAATCCCGATTCAGGCAGAAAAGTCACACAACCTCCTCCCCAGGGCCGTATTATCCATTAGGCCACAGTGGGCACTGTGCCTTGGGCCTACGAAAAACTAAAGGACCGAAGGAAACAATAATAAAAAATTCTATTTTTTATTTGTATGATTTTTTAAAAAATGTTACCAAGATATCTTCATGAATAAATATATTTATATAGCTAGGATAGGCACAGTGTAACCACAAAGAGGCAGAGTCATGTCATATTTTTTTCATAAGGTGAGAGAAATTAACACCGGATTAACATTTTTTTCTTCATTGCAAAATTAGCAATACCATCTTCAAATTGTGTTTTTCGCACCATCTCATTCTCAATATAGGTCAGTGCAAGGGGAGACGGGGCGTTGTTGTCCTCTGGTGGGTCGGAGACAGATTTATTTTTAAAAATCAGCTTTGGGGCCGTCCATAAATGACGTCACGCGATTTTGAACGATTTTTTACCCCCCCCCCCTCTCGTCACACGGCGTCACAAAAAGTCAGACCCCCCTCAAATATGACGTCACAAAGCTCTGCCCCCCCCCCCTCCCCCCCAAAAAATAAAACATGCTTCAAATCGCTTTAAACTATTGTCATTGTCGTGCGTATTTAATGTGCCGCTGCACTCTGATGTTGTAGGAGAAAACATTTATTAAAAAGTCGATTTAATTAAGTAGAACGTGTTGTCTATATTTATTTGAAGTTGTGCATTTTGATGTGACGTCACATTTCTCACCCCCCCCCCCCTCGTCACACATCGTCACAAATGTCTGATCCCCCCCTCCCACCCTAGGTGCGTGACGTCATTTATGGACGGCCCCTTTAGCGCGTGACAGTGGCAGTAGTAACATGGGGTAAGCAGCAGTACCAAGTGTAGACGTTTAACACTGACGTCCTACAAAACAAGTGCCTAGGGGCTCCAAGAACCGTCATCCGGTCCTGCTTCTCTCCCTTCAGCTCGCCAGACCAGACTAACACATTCCTGCGGAGGGAGCTGGTAGGAACGTTGGGCTGCTCGGTCAATGGCCAGGGTCAACGGCGGCGTGGTGTATTCCGCAAATATGCCCGACTGTGAGGGCGGGCACAAGCCGGCGTGAGTAGGTTAAACGTTGAGTTTTATAAGGGCACCACGGGGTGACCAGCCCCTCCCCACCCAGCCCCACCCCTCCCACCCCCCACTCAGCCCCACCCTCCCCACCCAGCCCCACCCACCCTCTCCACCCAGCCCCATCCCTTCCCATTTTTGGATGCACGATGGACGGACGGACACAATAATCCCCTGTGGGCTGGTGTAACCAGGAGGTTCCTACCAGTAAAACTTGACAACTCTTTGCTTGCAGCTCTCACCCACGGCTCACTCAGCAGCTTTTGCTTGCATGTCCAAACACCTGATGCGACATTTACCACGCACAGAAGAACTCGTATTATCCGAGGTGGGGGGGGGGGACTAATACTGCGGATGATATAATCCGCGCGGGTTATCCGCTATGTTATTCCTATTCTTAGGTTTTTCCTGTAAAGTCACGTAGGTGAAAAAAGTAAAAAGAAAAATATTTTATTTTTTCATTTCTCACCTACGTGACTTTACCGAAAAAAAACCTAAGAATATGAATACTTGCAGTCACGAAAGCTTCAAATCTAGAATTATATTATTCCTCTTATCCGCGGGGTTAGTACGAGAATACGGGGAAAACGGTGTGTGGGTTGACAGCTTTGATTACAAGAGGAATTCGGGCCGCGGGTAATCGGAGTTTTTGCGGAACCTCCAGCCCCCGCGGATTACAGGAGTCACGGGCAATAGGGCCACGGAGAAGAAGAGTTATCTGCACTTTAAAAGACGAATCTCTGTCATGACCGAACTAGAAGAACACCAGCTTTGCCTTCTACACATTGTACATACATCGAAATTACCATCAACATGATTATTTCGTCAATGTCTCTATACATTGTTACAGTCTTTTCCTTCAAATGGGTTGGTGATGTGTGTAGTGTACAAACGACATTTCTTGGAACCGTGGCAATTTACGTACGGTACACTCCAGAGGGGGAGAATCCTTCCCCTCCGTGTGCTGTATTTATAGATGTCTTCCAACCTGGAACATTATACAGCACTGAGGCACCATGCACCACTGCAGCCTCGAGCTCCACGCACATCCACACGGCTCCACGCACATCCACACAGCCCCACACACATCCACACAGCTCCACACAGCTCCACGCACATCCACACAGCTCCACACAGCCCAACGCACATCCACACAGCTCCGTACCTACCCGTGGGGCACCGCCTGACAGCGTGAACTGTGATTGTAGGAAGACCATTGGTCTTGAAAGCTGGCGCCCTCTCTACGTCTATTTGACACAGCACGGATTGCCATCCCGCGGCTGGCTGAGGGCATCTCTTCACCCTGCGTGCTCACGGTCGTGACGGATATTTGATCGATGCAGGTTGAAGGTGGGGTGAGTGCCGGTTAACAAGAGATGTTACTGCACTTTCCCCTCCTGCCCATCCATATGTTTGTCTGCATTGGTCACCCATTCAATCCACGATCCGTGCCGAAACCTCACTTGAATTCTGAGATCTGGCTCAAAGTTCCAGGTTATTTGCTCAATTAATACCAATCGTGCGTTTATCGCATTGTTGATGTTCATAAAAGCTCACTTTTTTTATTCGCGTGTGTCTTGATCTCAACTCATTCTCCATGTACCTCGAGCAGTTATTCCATGTTGTCATGGCAGGTAACAATGCACTTCATACAAACGTTTCTCAAAGCAAACTGCTGTGTATTTTCATCATCAGTTCCAAAAGTCTCAATCCTATCCTTGCAGCATCGTTTATCCAACACTTTGATTGCATGTAGATAATGTATCTTTGATGAAATTGGACGTTTATAATTTGGACATTTCATTTTCCCCACGTTCAGGTGACTCATTTCAACATGCAGCACAATCAAATCACATTAGTTATCCCATTGCCCTGACAGTCACAAAATGTAAAAGGCATATATTTTTAACATGTTCTACATTTTTAGGATTCCAAGTGGCAGCTGGCGGTTAAAGATGTGCTATTAACCAAAATGTCACGTTATATATTTTTCCTGTTAAAGAAGTATTGACAAATGTGTTTTTTTTAGTTGGGAGCGCCATACAATTGCCCCATAAAGACCATTAGATTCCAAGTCTCTCTCTCGATAGTCTACATTTTGTATGCAAATAAAAGGCAAATGTATCATGTGGCACCTCAGTATTAATGTGAAGTGCCTACTTCTGGAGCAGTAATTCATCCCAGGATTTGTAATGTCAATTTTACACGCATCTGCCAAGCGCTCTGGTAAAAGATGTTTCCCATCTGGACAACAGGATTTTTAAAAAACATTTAAACAATTACTTTGGGATTTTACTATCATTTAATTTTAATTCCAACGTAAACATGCTAATTTTCTAATTGCCTTTGAGACAAATGCCATATCTATATATCTTTTAATATGTACTGTATATGGAGCGATAACAAGTGATACAATGAATATTTCACAGAATGTTGAAGCATGTAAAATAGATTTAATGAGCATACAAAACCACAAATAGATCTTAAATCGTTTATTTAAATACAGCAGTTTTTAAATAATGACAGAGGTCTGAAAAACAGCCTTTCAAAAATACAAATTCAATAAGCGCTCATTTTATATTTACATTGACACATAACCAAAACAGTTATTTTTTTATTTTGCAATCTGTAAAATGAACTTTTCCCGCCATGCAAATTATAACCGTAGCAGCTACACATTTGTATGCGAGTCTGTGTGACGTCCATGTAGGGCCACTTTACTAAAGGCCATAATGGCACTGTACATTCACAAAGGCCCAAGAGAACTGGATTGTTCTGTGCTAGTGCACGACAGAGTAACACCGCTGCACACGGCCGGAGCGGTTCTCAAAGCGGCTGCATCTCGGGTTCCTCCTCCTCTCCCTCCGGCCGGGGCCGCGGCCGCCGCTTCTTGCGAGCAGCATCATCCGGAGAGTCCTCCCCGGTGTCCTGCCGGTCCCTCTCCGCCTCGACCCAGCTTTGGGGCGGGATGAGGCGCTTGGGACCGTGCGCAGGAGGGCCCAGCAGCTTCACGATGTCGTCATAGCTCACCACCTCGTGCTCCAGGAGTGCCTCCGCCAACTGATGACAGAAGCGTACGCAAAAACACACACAAATCCTACATTAATAATGTCATTTGTCAGTCACAACACTTCAGTAATTTTTTTGTTTGTTTTGGTCTTGAGCAAGGACTCATTCTGACTGGAAGTAGGGGCCTACGGTATTGATGATATAGCTCGGCAAAAGGTAGTTTTCAGCCCTGATATTTCTTGCTTATTGCCATTACTGACCCAAGGGCCTCAACAAGAGGAAACTCGAAAGAACGTCTCTAGAGGGTATTTGGCCTACTCTTCCACGCTGGCCAGATGTATTGGAAGAGGTGGGAGCACTGTACAAAATAATGACCCGACAGAAAAGATCATTCTATTATACCACCCTTAGTGCAACAGTGATTGGGTGGTAGTTTGGGGCAATTCCTTGTGAAGTTATAGGTCACTATGTTATGCAATGTAGATTTCATTAATTGAGTATAGCCAATGAGGTCAAGCGACCTGCTAAAGGAGGATGAAGCCTTAAGGAGGCTTCACCTCACCCTCATGCAATGCAGTTTAAAGATTGTCATTTAGAAAACGAATCACCCCACCCCTAATGTCGCCTTGTTACCAGATATGAATTAAAAAAACACAAAATAACTGCATTTGTAAGTGTTTGTGCATACACATACACACGCACTGACATGAGCACAAGGGCATCATTAGCCGCACTACTTGTGACCTATACATTTGTACATTAGTGTGCTAATTGAGTCTGCACGCGCATGGGTTACCGAAATTAGTTTGTCACGGTTTTCAAGAAGCAGTTTTTCTGTTCGTCTGTATGCTTGTGCCACCGTCTTCCGTGCTTCCTGCAAGTGATAAAAGCCAGAACAAATGCCAACAAACAATACAATTTTAGAACATTTACAATTTTCAGTTGCTCTGCAAATTCAAGAAATTTACAGAAAACTCTTCGGATGAACATCGTAAAAGATAGTTTATAAGTTGGGAAACCAATGCTCTCTCATGCAATCGTACACATGCACATATCTACACACACTTATGATCGAACATTACATGACTCATGTCCAGAATATAAAATAAGCTGTGGTTGATATCACGTAGACATACCAGCAAAATTAGATGTCTGAAGCAAATTCCAGCATATCTTAACGTGCATTTCTAAAATTGCACAGGCATCCACTATACATGCTCACATTCCCAAACTCACACACGCATCTTGATGTAAGAGTAGGAGCGCTGGACATGTTCTTACGTGGGCACAGTTAGCTCCATATTTGAAGCTTCGTTGCATTTAAATACACTTAAACTGGGAAACCCAAATCGGACCAAAGTTGTGCATACTATTTTTCCATGGGTACTCAGAAGCAAGTTTTAAATCTCAGCAGTTTGTCAAGTCAAATTTTTATTTTACATGTTCCCAGACCACAAGACACCAAAAATAATTAAGATATGTCAACAAACAGAACTATAACTGGCATAGAGAAACCAGCAAATTCCCCAGTGGAGCATGGTCACATGATTGGTGGTGCTGAACATCAACTGAACAAATTTGGTAGATGGATCACGAGTAGATAGAGCTGTGACATACATGCAACAGCCACCTACATGAGAATGAGTGGCCAGGACAGCCAGTAGGTCTCTGACATTTCTGCAGCGTTTGAATGCTGTCTCCTGTATGTTTTCTCCTGGCAATTCGAGTTTCCCTCCCTCCAATAAACATGTTCACCAAGCAATGCAATCATTCCAAGTGAGACCTCCACTGCAAAACACATTTCTGCGGAGGGAGCTGGTAGGAACGTTGGGTTGCTCGGTCAATGGCCAGGGTCAACGGCGGCGTGGTGTATTCCGCAAATATGCCCGACTGAGGGCGGGCACAAGCCGGCGTGAGTAGGTTAAACGAGTTTTAAAGGGCACCACGGGGTGACCAGCCCCTCCCCACCCAGCCCCACCCCCCCCCACCCAGCCCAACCCCCCCCACCCAGCCCCACCCCCCCCCACCCAGCCCCCTCCCACCCCCCCACCCCCACCCCCCCACCCCCCCCACATCCCACCCAGCCCCTCCACTCCCCACCCTCCCCACCCAGCCCCTACCCACCCAGCCCCTCCCCGCACGACGGACGGACACAATAATCCCCTGTGGGCTGGTGTAACCAGGAGGTTCCTACCAGTAATAACCCTGAGATTCACCGAGCTACACCAGTGCAACTGTATTACTATTATTATTATACAAACTCACATGGTCCATGACCTCTTGCAGGGCTCGGCTGTA